TGACGAGACTTAACATTGATGCTGACCCTCATAGTTTTGTCGGACTCACTAAGCTGAAGGCACCCGGTTAAGCACCCAGCCATTTGGCACGCTGTTGCGTTACGCTGCACTGCCTGCAGTCTACTCTCTAGCCAGTTAGTTGGAATGCACTGGCATTTTGGCACGACCTCGCAAATATACTATCCCATGCAACTACGCCATTGTGTTCCTTCTTGGTCTCGTATTCGCGGGTATGTAAAAAGTACGGATAATTAGTGATCGGTCTCTGTATCTGTCAAGTTCGATCAAGGACAAGTCCCTAAGACCGTCGAACGATGAACGAAATGTTTTGAGGTCTGAGGAGAATAAGATTCTTGCGTATGTCAATGAAACATATTTCACCAAGGTGTCTCACAAGGTATCATGTTCCAGGTGGCTGATGATCTTGGCAATGCCTAAAATCAATAGGAATCCACTCTCATAGACAAGAGTTCCTTGCTGGCAGAAGTCGACGAGTAAAGATCGATTAATAACTCTCCTCCTGGAATTCGGTAGAAAGTGTAGGGCCTCAAGGCACAGTGGTGGGTCTCCTACCATTTTCTCTGTGCATAAATGAATAGTCGAATATTACGAAATCCCACGACTATAGGCTCCGGTGGTATGAAAATCTGGTGGGAAAGTGGAGATGATGAGGTAAAAGGTACAGTTCAAACAGACTAAAGCAGCTTGTTAACCCTGTCAGAAAATCTCTGATGCTTTTCAAAGCAGGTAAGAGTGTGAGTACGCACATGGAGGAAACTTCAGGGAACAAATACGACGTTGGTGAGACTCTTCTGCTCTGGGCGTTGCCCTCCATTACCCTGGGGCAACGGTAAGACATGATTTCAGTAACAGTGCAATGTTGACAAAGAGCAGTCCGGAGTTTAGAGAAGCTGGACACTGCGCAGAAACTTCGTCAGGATAGGTGAATTTATGTGAATCACCTTATAAATATCCTTGGCTTCGTCTGAACCAGAAAACCTTACAAAGAAGGCAAACCCTTGTCTGAAAGGAGACTCAAAATTTCAGGATACAGTTGGGATGACAGCTACCCGAAGGATTCTTGCGATGGGTAGCCTGGGCTATGAATAACGTCTAAAGGAACCCAGCAGCTTCTCTTTATCCTGCCGCAGACAAAAGGGTGATCTAACCATGCTACACAGGATTATAGAAGTACCGTTGGGGTTGGTCTGCCCTCCTTTGCCTCCCAAAAAGTCAGAATACCCTAGAAGCGCAAACACAGGGTAAAATAAAAAGGATGAATGTTATGTTCGTACAACATCAATTTTCGCGCCGAACCAACTTTCATAGGAATGGTTTCCACTTTATTACTTGTCACGTCAAAATAGGACTGAAAGGATTAGCATATCCGCCGGAAGATGACTACTATTGGTGGATATGCTTTATTCTCGTGTTGCAAATCTGAATCAAAGAAATATGTCAACCATGACCTCACCCAGACTGATGGCTGTTAACTTCGAATCCCCAGAAGTACTCACCAGGGTGCCAGAGACGTGGTATAAAGTCAGCAGCACCATAAGCGGTAACGTTCGCCGCTGTGAAAGCAGACCGAGAGCACTGAGATAACAACAGATAGCAGTTACTCCCTATGCTCAGGCCACCATAAACCTAAACCGAAACGTTGAGAGTCAGATCGGCAACCTCCACCCAACATCGAGTGCACCAGTAGGCCCAGGAAGAAACTTAACTGGGCCAGTTCCATTGGAACTGGCCAGTCAGTAGAAACCCCCACATCCGAACCGGTGCCACTGGTTAACTCAGAGACATCTCACGTTACCAGAAGCACCTCCAAGTGTTTCTATAGCAACTTGAGAGGACTTCGAAGCAAATGCCAGAGCTCCAGTTCCTCTGTCTCGACCTCGGCCCGAAAATCGTGATCCTGACAGAAACATGGTCGTCACCGGACACAAGCGACACCGAAGTTAGCATCGACGACATGATTCAGTTCAGGAGAGGCAGAGAACATAGGGAGGGAGGGGGGTTGCAATATGAGTGAACAGTTGATTCAGAAGTGAAAAAACCACTGACACGGTACTGACAGAGCTCCTAGGCTCTATCTGGTGTCACTTCACGGTCAAACACGCCAAATTCTTGTTTGCAGGAACCTATGGGTCCCCTAACAGCAACTTGGAACACAACCAAAAACAACTCCAAGTAATATCCACAGTGTCAACTATAGGGTACGACCAGATTCTAAAAGCTGGCGACTTCAACACTCCGACCCTCAGCCTAGAGCAAGATGACACGTCCCCTAGCCGGAAGTTTGACTGTGGCCCGCTAAGTGCCATCCAAATGGCCGGACTGCAGGAAAAAATCAGCGATAACACTCGCTGGGGCTCAGATGGCAAACCGTCTAAACTGGATCACCTACTGACCAGTGATCACCTAGTTGAAAACGTTTAGGTACGAACTCCTCTCGGAAGTAGCGATCACACTGTGGTAGTGTTAGACCTGGTAATCAGTGAAAAATTATCATGAGATGGGCCTCGCCTTTACCTCTGTTACAGCAAACTATGAAGGTATGAACAAAAGTATATCAAGAGCTCCATAGCCAGTGGATTGATGCTCCTTATCGGTCGGCCAGCACTGGGAACTGGTAAAGGGCGGCCATCTAACAAAACGTCCCCTTGGCGGTGACAACGCCTAGAAGCTGAACCTCATGGCTGAAAAGGGGCAGTGAGTGCCTTCTAAAAGCCAAGGGAAGGGCATGGCATACATGGAGACTCCCCAGGGGACAGTACGACCATGACGTATACACCACTCTACGGAACCTAAGCAACATCGGGGTGAGGGGGAAGGAGATCGTTCCAGTCCAACCTCTCCAAAGGGCTTGGGGTGAACCCCAAAAATCCATACCGATTAATGGCAAAGAGAAAATCGACAAGCCAAGAAGCACGCATCATAAAAGGTCCGAACACGAAAACCTCACTGAAATGTTGAGCGCCACATTTGACACAAAGCTCAATATTCCATCAAGAAAGTGCGCATACTAACTGCTCGAACAGCCTCCAACGTTGCCTGGTGCTGCGAAGTTACACGAAATACAGACAACCTGCGCTATTGTCTTCGACGAGCCATCAAAGCTAGGCATGGGAAAATCCCCAGGGTGCGACGACATCTCCCATCTGTGTTGAAAGAATGTGCAAGTACTGTAAGTGGCCCACTCTGTAATCTCTTCCAACACTCCTTGGATGAACAAAAGCTCCCACGAGAGTGGAAACATGCTATCTTTTCTCCCATCTTCAAAGGAGGAGAGACGGAATCCCAACTGTTATAGACCCATAGCACTTCTACCGGTAATATCAAAGTTTATGGAAAGTGTGATGGACCACCGTATTGGGGAATATCCAGACAAAAGCAGGCACTCGCTGACGCTCAACATGGCTTCCAGAAGGGTAGGCTCTGTGCCTCCAACCTCCTGACGGCCCATGATCACTGGACAGCATGCTGGGATCCCAAGGTCCAGGTCAACGCGATTTTTCTGGACTTCGCCGAAGCCCTTGACACTGTCTCACACACGGTCCTAATACATAAGATAGTTGGGACAGGTATTCGCAGCCAGGTGCTAACGTGGCTGCAGAACTACTTAAAAAAATAGGGAGTTCTGCATGAAAGTCAACTTGGAGAGCATCCTCATCCGGTGTCTCGTAAGGAGCAATCATGGGTCTACTGCTGTTCTTACTGTTCTTGATTGACTTACCGCAACATATCAGCTATCCGATTCTCCTATACGCCGATGACATCGAGTTATGGAAGGCAGTAACCTGCGAAGCGGAATCTATGGCATCACATGACGACCTCAAACACTAGAGGAATTGGGAACTGATAACGAACTGGCACTTAACCTGGATAAGTGCTGGTCCATGTTTTTCCGCACTCTTCATCCCGGAAAGTATCCTACCACCTCCATGGTTCACGTTTATCTCATACCACAGTAGGAAAAGACCTGGGTTTAACGGTGACGGAGAAACTGGTCGCCAGTTCTAACTACCCAGGTAATGCCTCAAAAGCATATGGTGTACTGCACTTTGTGCGTAAGCAACTAGGTGCCCTCACCTCTACAAGATCTACGTACGGCCCCACTTAGAGGTCCATAGCGTCTTCGCTCCACCACGGCTGAAAAGTGGCACTAACCTACTGGAGAAAGTCCAGGGGCCAACCACAAAAGGGGCTGTTGGGATGCAACGTAAACCATATGAAGATAGAGTGAAAGACCTAGGCCTACACTGTCTTAGCCACCGAAGGTTACGAGGTGGCTTGATAATGACCTACAAAATACCGAATAACCCAAGTCACCTGAACAGAGGAACACTACCAAGTGGTCACTACGGTGATCCTCGAGGAAACCCCAATAGAATAGCCCACCAAAGGTCAAAAAGCATGCGCGTTCACAGTTCTTCTTCCTCCGAATCTGCAGGTACTAGAACTCACTACCAGCCAAGGTGGTCTCCACCCCAACTGTTTTAACCTTACAACCAGTTTAATTTCCGTTATAACCATTTAATCATTCTTCATCCCTTCCACTTGCCACGAGTTAGCCTCACTTACCTAGATTCTTCATACCTCTGCACACCTCGACTTACTTGGGTTTAAGTAAATTACTCCATTAGTTCACTTTTCTTTTCCCCTTTTACTCACACAAACACTTTTAGGTTTTCTCCTCGCTATCCACAACCCTGTCTGGCGACCAGTCCGAACAACTGTCTGGCAACTCGACATCTGAAGAAGCCAACTGCACCACAGTCCAAGGCAAACAAACCAACACTTAACTTCTTGTTCTGTAAATCACAGCTATGGCAGACAAGTGGCTGGATCTACTGCATCGGAATCCGCCAAAGACCTGGGACCGTTCCGCAAGACCAAGAAGCGAACAAGAAGAAATCAACCGGTTCACACATGCTCGTTAATAAGAGATTGGATATTGAAATATTCTGAGGGTGATCTAGAAAGAGGTGCTACAAATGTTGGTAGGTTTTTTTTCCAGGTCTCTAAGCTTATTCATTATGGTGCCAGATAACTGTATGCTTTATTCAGCATAGTTTGCGAAAAAAATATTAGCTTTCAGCAGACCTAGAAGCAAACACGAAGAAATCACGGTTTACACTTGCTCATAAAAAGATATTGGATGCATTCAAACGTTCACACATGTGAGGTCTTATCGTATATTTCTCCCCTGCTAGGACTGGCTGTCTTCGAGGGCATCACAAGGAAACTCAAAAACTGTGATCGAATTAACTTAGCGTAAATCTGCGTTTCTCCCATAGTGTTTTCAACGACTGAAACTCCTTACCTCAGCAAGTAGTATCATCACCTGTCAGCGCATCCAAGGAGAAACTATATCTTCACACAGATATCTTCTGCAAGGATTAACACAGGCCAACTGGCCTACTATCCTTATAACTGAAAACTGGAAGTAGTGTTTCACCGCCTTTACGTGGGTCATTACATTAAGTACTTGGAAATTTGGATCAACTACCAAAGTACTTTAACCCCACCATGAAGAAACGCTCTGTCGGTTTTTAATGTGGGAATAAATAAAGGTTGCAACATAAATGTTATGCTTATAATGTTTAGAAAATTCTTCAAGCTTCAAACTACCTATTCTCTGCTTAGCGTGATAAAACGTGCGGTATTCATCTGTATGATACAAGTCTTTAAAACACCTGAACTGTGGTGTGAACATAAATATGTCTGCAGACAGTAACCTGTCGACTCTAAAATATTAGCATGAACGATTCTAGAGTTTAAGAATTTTGGCTTCAGAATTTTTATGAACATGAAGTTCGTGATGTTGGATGTTTGGTAAAGACCAATAGGTTTCAAAATACAAAACTTTGAATATTGTCGTAAAGCAGTAAACTTGTAATGAAGGAGTTAGGTTGGGGAAATCACGCAGATGACAATCCTGTTAGGTAAAGACGCTGACAAGATGCAGTCTTCTGGCCACTTTGAGTGGTAATTTGAGAATGTTTGGGATGCGTCTGTCTCCACCCAAATGGAAGTTATTGCTCCAGGATATGTCTTCAACGGTATCTCGGCTGACAATGGAAAGTGAAGTGGTTGAGTGTCGACCATTTCACTTACCTGAGAAGTGGGATCAGCCCTGATGGCTCAGTGGCCGACAAAATTTCTGCACGAAAACAAAAGGCTGGATTTGCTTTTGCCAATTTATGCCACCTGTGGCCCCGCCGTGATATCCATTTGTCTATCAAGGGTCGCGTACATTGCACAGCAGTCTGCTCTGTCCCACTGTATGGCTGTGAAACATGGCCACTGAAGGTGGAAGACATGAAAAAGCTTCAGGTGTTTGACCATCATTGCCTTCCTAGTACATGCCGTATTCCGTGGTCTCAACACGTGAGTAATGCAGAAGTCAGGTGCAGAGCTTTAGGGAGAAAAGTTGAGTCAGTTGACACAGTCGTGGACCTTCATCGATTGAGATGGTTGGGACACGTGTTACGTATGCCTAGTTGCCTTCTGCCTCATCACACAATGCTGGCCGAAGTAGTTTCAAGGTGGAAAAAGGCTCAAAGTGGCCAGACCGAAACGCAACATCAATGTATGAAGTCTTTGACTGTTGATTTGAGCCATGTTGGGCTATGCAGACTAGTTGGTAGGTGTTTGCGGAACAAGAGAAACCAGGGGTTGGAGACTGACTCCAGATGATACGGCTGAGAACCGATGTCAATGGCGCAGATGTATACACACACTATCCTCATCTTAACGACGCTATACCGAATTTCATCGCTTTGTTATTCTTCCTCTCTCTCTCTCTATTTGAGTACTTTATATTCCTTTTGATTGAATTTTGTTTTCTTCATCTTCCACTTGACTGCCTTTTTACTTGATGTACTGATATGAGGTGTGGCAACTCAAACAGTAATGCCTAGTTCTATGTTGATTCGGAGTTGATTCACATTATCATGAAAATAAGAGGTGGGGAGAAAAAGACTGATACCAGAATAGACGGTGTATGAGACGAGAAGGAATTCAGAAATGATTAGCCAAGACATTCAAGCTTTAGAGGACATCAGTATGAATATATCTGCGACATTGACTGGTTTTCAGCTATATCATCAAGAGTCTTTAACCACTGATTCCTGTCGTCTCAGCGCAGTACACTCGTCTTTTGGTAGATAATCAAATATCTCGCCGGTCGGTGCCGCACATGACAAATGCCAAAAGGACCTATATCCGAGCTGAGATTTCATCATCAGCCAATCTGTTGGGGCTGATGCAACTCACCAAGCAAATGAAGTGGACGACACATTTAACCGCTTCACTTCTTAGCCTTCAACTGAGAGTAGTTGCAGACTAGTCCTAGAGCATTTTACATTTGACAGGTGCAAATTGTAGATAAAACATTCTCAGATTTCTGCTGAAGGGATTCAGAAGACCCTGCATTTTACCAGTATCTTCAACTAACAGGACAATTTCGTCTGCACGTAATGGGCTTACTATTAGTAGTATCACGAGGTGAAGGCAAAGGACGAGACAGTTGAGAATGACAGCTTATGTTTGATTAGGTCTTGTATACTACTTAAAGCGTTCAGGGGGTTGACACTTCCCTGCTGCCCACATGCGTAACTATTATTTGGTTGGAGACAATCGACAGAAAGCCCTGGACCTAGGTTTCGTGCTTGTTGGCAAGCGATACTGAGCCTCCTAGCTTGGTGACCACATTGCAAATATGATCGATATGATTCGACCAGTACTCAGGACTAGATAAGATGAAATTGATTGCTCTCCAGTGACCAATCAATGGATGTAACCCAGTCCTACAGGAGATGAATCGCAGCGTGAACGGTAACGTCCCTGACTACAACACTGGGTGATGCGGGTTCAAATCTCAGGCGGAACAACAGTCTCATCGAGGTTACAGATACGCCTTGCTGACGAGTGCCAACAAGCACAGAACCTAGGTCCACGGCTTCCTACCGATTGCATCCAACCAACTAACCGCAAGTTATCCCAAGTTGTCTTGAAAAGTGTTATCTCCAACATCTATGCCGGCTCTAAATTTGGTAACGAACACTATCACTCCGTCATCAAGAATACGGGACACGATTCGAACAACCTGGTATACTTTCTCATGATAGTTTCACCAAAGTATCCCTAGAAATTTAAGTGATGTGTGCAGATAAATGTCTTCATTTCATCCATTCTTCCCAGGTGTAACAGTGACGTTTTAGGAGACCGTTATCCGTGTGATAGACGATAGTAAAAGGTGCTATTTCACCTCTTGATGGCAACCATTTTCCACAATGAGGTTCTCACTCCCGAAAAAAAAAACAGGGAAGAGAGTGTTCTGCTATCCAGCTGCTGGTTATCATTCGGTCCACCGGCACAAAAGTCGGATCACATACGCTGTAGTTTGTAAAAGGAACATCGGAGAAATGAAACAGGAATCCGGAAGGAAAACACATGTATAATTACCAGTGTCATCGTCAAATGTGATTTAATTTTATCCTTGCCTCTTCTATATTCCTTTATCTTCAGTCAAACGCTCTAACTTTACAGTCCCTGACAACCGGCATATCCGTACGCCATACATTCATTCTGGGGAGATAGGTAAAGTCTCGTGTGTGAAAGATTTGAATGTACTACTACATGTAGACTACTAGTTGATGTATAAGAACTAAGTCTTAATGCGATGTTTTACACCGTAGATCGAAACACGTTACACTAATAACATTTTCAACCAGAAAAATCTTCAAGACTGGGAAAGTAGGACGTTGTCGTAGCAGTCACGAGAGACTGGAGATGTGGAATCCACTCACTAAATGTGTGGTGTGATTAGGCCACCTATTATTTGTGATTTTTACTGTTGCACTGCTCGGGTACATAGTTCAATATGTAGTCATGGAATGGAGAAAATTAACTCCTGTAGATTATCCCGATTTTCACCTCATCTTCGACTAACTTCTCTTATCCGGCTAATTCGTATTTGTCACTATGATATGCTTCTGGCTTAGTGGACCTTATATTTAGGTCATCATGCGTGTACTGATGTTTCTTCACCCTGCCAGCCCTAACATGCAAAGACCCGTAACATCCAATTCCGTGAGGTTGACTCTTACTTCGACTGAAGCTTCCAACCTTGACTTTTTACTACCTAGGCTGCAGGCACCAGTATTCAGTCCCTTTAAGTTATTCGAACTACCTGGCCTATCCATATTAACCTTTAAGATACTTGTTTCCAATACAACACTACACAAAAACTCACAGGTTTAATATTTTATTCTCGTTTCTCTTTCCAGACACTCCGTTTCTTGCACTCTGTTACCAAGACCAATAATCCTCACCTCTTTATTTTCAAAAACTGCTTTTAAGATCGTACCTGAATCGGTTATATTCCACTCGGTTCACCCAATCTAACCACTTTAGACACATTTAACCATAGTGTTTTTCGCTGCAGGATGTGCTAATTTGTGTTCTTAACCAATTTCAGGTTGCGGGTAGTGTGCTTAGAGGAGTCGAAATCTTTCAACTGTTTAGGGTTCCAGATTGGGTGGTAATCTTTTGGCTTCGAGTTACCGTTGCAATAAGACCTAAGTTCTCTGGAGATTTTGTTCGGCTCAATTAATTCAGCTTCGCATGTTGAGTCACCGAAATCGGTTTCAGTGAAAAATTAAAAGTCCAACCTGCGGTAGGTTTTCTGCAACGTTTGTATTTAAATGGCGCTGAGCCATTTAATAACCATCCTAAGTAGTACTTATGGTTTCAGATCTTACCTAACTACGCCAAACAAATAAGGTAGAAGCATGCTTCACATGTACTTGTTATCATTAAAAATATTTATTAGATAGATAATATTGATTTGCCTTAATTCTCTTAGTTTCTAACCCAGCTATGAGTATATTGATGTTTTCCTAAATTCATGTTTCGCTTAGATGGAGCTGTGGCTTGGTATCTTAGAGGGGTGACTATCAACAATAAGGTCACGAGTTCGAACCTCGCTGCACCTGCCGAGGTTTGGGCAGCCAAGTAGCATCACTAGCCCTCAGATAATAGGTGTGGCTCATTGCCTAGTGCATGGATTTGCACAAGGTTGCTGAGTGCGTCTCATTCTTTTAGATGAAGTTGAAGCAACGTCCGCGGTAAATGCATTAAACTGTGCGATAAAGCTGTTCAAGTTGTCATTTTATTTCCCTTATGTTCTTATTATCTGGCAAGACTTAGAAACTGAATTTGGAAATTATCACTACCTCACACCATCCAGGAAAACAAGTATACATAGACCTGCATGTCATCAACTCACAGTGAGTTTATAGTACACTACTCTTTAACGAATACATATTAAGTGTTGTAATAAATCTCAGTGTTAAGTCCTGAAGTTGACTTAATTTAGTCCAGAAGACCTGAAAAGCTTGGTGACTCTTGTAATACCGAATTTATTCCAAGTCCCTTATGATCGTAATGGTTTTACGGACTAGAAAATAATTTTGAGTATCCGCAAGGATTCTGTCACGTCGGCAGTCGACGAACTAACTTATTACAGTTTCACCGGTATTCGTTTGTGATTTTGTAATTGACACATGATAAGTTGTACATTGTGTGTCCTGGAAACTATATACCGAAGAATGTTATGTAGAAATATTTTTGACTTACTTCTATCCTATTCTTGTAGATCACTTCATTCACAGTTCAAGACAAGTAATCTTCCCTGAATGTTTGAAGGACGATGACATTTTTACCGCTTTCATAAAATGTATAGTATAGATATTAGAGTACATACGATTTCCATCTTAAGCGCGCAGCATAATCCAATCATTATACTCTCCCAAACACCGAATCATGTGTGAAATCGGGTCACAAGGGGGATAATTGCATCTCCGTAAGAGCATGGAAGGATTGATAATGCCTTCACGTTATGCAATGACCGTGAACATCTCGGATAACACTGAACAATTTCATACCAATTATAGATAATAGCTAGCAGCAGAATCCAGGGAGTGCGTTTCGTCTATTTGGGACTCATCAGCTGGATATATAGTCGTTTTCTATTATTACCATTGTTTCTTATAACCTTTGCCAGAGTTCTCTTGCTGTTCAGTCTTGTATAATTACTTGCCTCTCTGTCTCGACTTTTATCACTGTATTGTTTTTGACCTTGTTGTTTCACCAGGGCGTTATCGCCCTATATCTTATTTCTGTTTTGGTCTTCTGATTACTATGTGCATTAATCTCTTCGTTTTTGTCTTTCCCTGGCTTTTTCTATCCGGTCTGATGAAACAGTAACTGCCACTATACGTTGTGCACCTCACAGTCGTTCGAATTTTTAGATTTTCGCCCTAACTTTCGCTTCGATCATAGATAACGATATATTGAAGTTGGTGCTGTTGGAGTAATGGACTAATTCAGTTGTTTATTTTAGCGATTCAACCGGCCTTCTGGTTTATTTCTGAAGATTGTCAACTGAACTGTGTGGCTGATATTTCTTTCTAAAACGGGTGATCGCTTTTCTTACCTCAGATGAGCTGAACAACTTCATCTCATAGTCAAATGCAGTTGCTACTCTTATCTTAGTTCTATATAGTTACTGTCAAGCTTCGTATTCCCTGCTTTTGCGTTATATCGTTCATTCCATGAGAATTGGATCAATTATTGCATTCATAATCCAACAAGTGAACCGATAAGCATCAGAAGTTTGCACAGAGCACATATGAGTAGTACCTAGATCTGTTCTACCAACTATTCATGTTTGCCATTCTCGGTCGATCCTTAGGAAAAACTCACCAATCTACTCTCTTCCATTTCAGATTTGAATCACCATTTGATAAGAGTCGAACCATCGGTGTTCTTTCAAGTTGCAAAAGCGTGTAAACCACCATAACACCGATATCTCTGTTCTGTGGACAAGCCTAGTTATTAGTATGTATAAAATTTTCAGAATATAAATTAACTAATAAATAAAGCACAAATGGTAGCAGTCTCTAATAAATTGCTTACGACTAACACCTTGTAGTAGAGCTGTTAATATATCATTCATTTTGTTATTTTTCTATACATCCAACTTTAGAGCTTTCTAGGCATTGGCCAAAGTGTCGATATTAAAATTAACTTACACGATGAAGAGAATAGGAGGAAGGAGGAACTCAGGAGTGAAGATGGACATATTCATTCACTTCCGGTGTATTATGATGGTGAAAATGTTTCCGGAACTGTACATGTGGGCTTAAAAAGAGGCGGAAAACTGGAGCATCAGGGGATCAAGATTGAATTCATTGGTCAAATTGAGCTGTATACTGATCGTGGAAATCGTGAAGAGTTTATTACTTTGTGTCAAGACCTGGCGCGTCCTGGTATACTTTCTCACTCAACAAGTTATCCATTCGAGTTCTTGCGTATCGAAAAGCCCTACGAATCATATTGTGGTACAAACGTCCGTTTAAGGTAAATTTGAAGCGTGTAGTTCTCCTAAATGGTAGATACTTTTTGCGAATCACTATTCAAAAGAGAATAGCTGATATTACAAAAGAATATGAGCTAATAGTACATTCCACAATGAGATGTTCTGAATCGAGTGATGGCATTCAAATGGAGGTCGGTATAGAAGATAGTTTACACATTGAATTTGAATACAATAAGTCAAAGTGTGTTGCTATTTCTGTATATATATATAATGATTTAGATATCACCTACAAGATGTTATTGTTGGAAAAATATACTTCCTTTTGGTCCGAGTTAAAATAAAGAATATGGAAATACAAATACTAAAACGTGAAACTATTGGTTCAGGTAGGTGAGTTACACCTTTCAAGGTATGACTTACTTTCATAGGTCCAACGGCTTTTACTGAAGCAGAAACTGTTGGAAAATACGAGATAATGGATGGCGCTCCAGTACGTGGCGAGTCGATTCCGATTAGGCTATTTTTGCATGTCTACGGTTTAAGTCCAACTATGCGTGATGTTCACCGCAAATTTTCAGTACGATATTTTCTAAATTTAGTACTGTTAGATGAAGAAGACCGGCGATATTACAAGCAACAGGTAAGTAAAACATTTTTGTATGCAAAAGTCTCATGTACGTTAAAACTAGCTATCAAGTAAGAAAAGCTTGGTGCTTTCACTACTGAACTATTATTATCTATCGTGATTTCCACCAACCTATTTCCTTATTACTAGTGACAATAACATTTTGATAACCCAAGTTACCACGTTAATAACTCGAACCTATGTTACCGGGGTACAAAATACAGTTTTCCATTGATAACATTTTATGAAACCTGGGATTTCACCTTGATCGAAGAGTATTTAAGTTTATTCCTATTTTCTTTATGTATTCTGCTGCACTCTAGGTTACTTACATAGATATGCTGATCATGGACCTCTTGTAGGCGTTCACTTTTACAACGGACGTCAATCGGATTGCTCCACGTAACAGGTTTTTGGAACCGAAAATTATACATTGATTGGTCACGGGAGAGCAACCGATTTCATGTTGTCTAGTCCTGAGTGCAAGCGGAATCCTATCGATCATATTCTCAATGCCGCTACCAAACTAGGAGGATCATCGCGGTGGACATGAGTAGATATTATTTGGTTGGAGACAATCGACAGAAAGCCCTGGACCTAGGTTTCGTGCTTGTTGGCAAGCGATACTGAGCCTCCTAGCTTGGTGACCACATTGCAAATATGATCGATATGATTCGACCAGTACTCAGGACTAGATAAGATGAAATTGATTGCTCTCCAGTGACCAATCAATGGATGTAACCCAGTCCTACAGGAGATGAATCGCAGCGTGAACGGTAACGTCCCTGACTACAACACTGGGTGATGCGGGTTCAAATCTCAGGCGGAACAACAGTCTCATCGAGGTTACAGATACGCCTTGCTGACGAGTGCCAACAAGCACAGAACCTAGGTCCACGGCTTCCTACCGATTGCATCCAACCAACTAACCGCAAGTTATCCCAAGTTGTCTTGAAAAGTGTTATCTCCAACATCTATGCCGGCTCTAAATTTGGTAACGAACACTATCACTCCGTCATCAAGAATACGGGACACGATTCGAACAACCTGGTATACTTTCTCATGATAGTTTCACCAAAGTATCCCTAGAAATTTAAGTGATGTGTGCAGATAAATGTCTTCATTTCATCCATTCTTCCCAGGTGTAACAGTGACGTTTTAGGAGACCGTTATCCGTGTGATAGACGATAGTAAAAGGTGCTATTTCACCTCTTGATGGCAACCATTTTCCACAATGAGGTTCTCACTCCCGAAAAAAAAAACAGGGAAGAGAGTGTTCTGCTATCCAGCTGCTGGTTATCATTCGGTCCACCGGCACAAAAGTCGGATCACATACGCTGTAGTTTGTAAAAGGAACATCGGAGAAATGAAACAGGAATCCGGAAGGAAAACACATGTATAATTCTTAGAAGCGGCAGTGGTCGAATCCGTTAAAGTCATGATAGTGGATATCCGCTCACTTCTATACCCTTCACGCGACACTAATTCCATTGTCTGATAGGTTTCAACTTCACATGTGACATCAAATTAAGGATTGTGTAGGTGAGAACTGTCATTGCTGTAAACACGAATCTTGAACCATATGGCAACAATAAATGAAAGGTTATGTGTATCCCACCTCTGTTAGCTCTGCAACATGACCAAGCTGGAGGTAATATTTTGAAAGCACTTGTAACCCGAGTTGTCAGTACTAGGAATACAACAAATCATTCTCACCAAAACCGGTAGACTTCACTACTCTCACATTCACCCATGTTTCTCAGCATTAAGGAAAGTGCCTGGCCTTTCTTGAAAGAATTTCCTGTGGTTTTCGAGCATCAGATACTATGTCTCTATCACATTACATCATTTGAAGTTGTTTATTAGAATTTCCGTGGATGGCTGTCTTTTGACTTCAATTTAAATTTCTCAGAGATATTTGAGGCACTGCGGTTTATTGGGCTTGTGGCCATCTACCCCAAACACACAACACTAATTGAATTAAATAGCAAAAAAGTAAGGAAAGGATAGTCAGTCTAAGACACGGCAGCAGTTCACAAAGACGGATTGTAGGTGTGACCTACTTAACGAAATATTTCCGAAACATTCGGAAGATCTCGTTCTAATTGTGCACTGAATCTATTGTTGGAGCGTTTCTGATAAAACTAGTTGTTGCAATAGCGCAGTTGTCTGTTTGAACTTCATGAAAATAGTCGAAGATTTAATACATAAATTTGCCAGTTTACCTGAGTTCTTATCTTAAGGAGGATATGGTACTCCGTCTTTACCTTTAGTTTTTCTTCTGATATATGAGAATAACCGTTCTGGATAATTCTGATAATCGGTTGCAAATTGTCTTTCGTATATTACCCAAGACCGCATGATGTTATTATTATTATTATTTGTTCCTTGGTTTCCTAGTGAAATATAGGGCTTCAGTGGCACGTCTCCATTGCACTCTCTTCTCTGCAGTCTTTTGTACCTGCCTCCACGACTGCCCACAAGCTTTGATTTCTTCCTCACACGATTTCCTCCATGTCACCCTCGCCTCGGACATCCAACTCGTCGTTTCCCCTTTGGATTCCGCTCGACGGAATGGGCTGTCCCCAGTCGGCCTTCTCAGTGTATGCCCAATCCAATCAATCTCCACTTCTTTCTGCATATTTGTTGGGCGATGGGTTCTTGGTTGGTTTCGCTTGGGGTGGACAGGATCATGATTGCGCGCCAGTTCTTGCAAAGACTTGTTTGGAAGTTTGACAAGGTAGCTCTTCTTCTTCCAATCGACAGGTACCTTGCCTTCCTTCCAAACCTTCTGCAGTAGTGGTGTGACCATCTCCGATGTTATCTCTGCATCTGTTTTCAGTGCTTCTGGTGGAATTCCATCTGGTCCTGTTGCTTTCCCGGATTCCAGCGACTTTATGGGGTTCAGGACTTCTGCTTTTTCGGAGAGCTTGTGTTCACCGGTAGTTCTGCGGTTGCTGGTGGTATTTCCAGACGAGTTTCGGGTGGCGGTGGCGGTCGATTCAAGAGTTTTTCTGATGTTTTCAGCCCATTGTTTCTCCTCTTTGGTAACTAGGTTTCCTTCATTATCTTTCATTGGTTTCGTCTGCGTTGATCTCTTCCCAGTAACCTGGTTATTTGACATAGTGTTGTCAGGTCTCTCCTACCAGCAGCCTGTTCTGCTTCAACTGCCAAAGTGTCGTAGAAGTGTCTTTTGTCTTTGCGCGTATTCTTCACTTCTTTGTCCAGTGTTTTGTACGTTGTACTCAGTTCCTCGTTTCGTTGTTTATCCCTGCACCGCATTGTACTGGTTCTCTGCTTCACCGGCTTCCTATCCATGCTCTATCAGCTTCCATGTATCCCTCGAGATCCATTCCTTGTTTTCTTTCTCTTCCTAATACGGTTATGCAGGTTTCCTCCCACGTCTCTTTCAAAGAGTTACAGTGTTCTTCCATGCAGGCTTCCTCAAGGATGTTGCTCAATATCTATCATTTTGTCTTGATAGCTGACGTGAAGATATCCTTCGTGTGCACAAAGTGGCTAGGTGCGTGTCGTTTAGTTTTATACTTTTAAGTTGATCAACAGCACTTCAGTCAGTAAATATTATGCCTAGGTTAGGTTTAGCATCTTTCAACTTTTGGTATTCATTATAGAATGCGGTGTTCATTGTTAATTAAAAATTCCAGAAAACTATTTCTCAGAAGAACAAACATTCTTTTCTATTTAGGAAATTATACTCTACAGGAAATCTGATCGCCGACTTCAGGCCTATGTACAACAGATTTCAGATAAAGGATATGATGAAAGCAAAACTGATGAAAAAGAAAAAGTGGATACCAACTGTGAGAGTAAAATCCAAGAACAAACAAAACTCGAAGTTCCTGATAAGGTGAGCAGCATTTGAATTATGCTCACGATAAGTTGAGGAAAAAATTAGCACATATTCAGCTATTTTACTCTGCGAAGAAAATTAATATTTTCCCTCTATTTTATCTAAAATATTATAGGGTTCAGATATCAGTGATTCATGTTCTGATGTGATCAGTGAAAGAAATGGAGATAATCAGACAAATAATTCCACGTTACTTCTTAATCCTACTATTGCCGGTACAGAATCCAATATCGACAAACATAGTAATGACTCAGAGGACAGTGCTGACTCTTTTTCTCCACAAACACGTTCAGCCAGGAGTATGCATCGTTATGAGCCAAAACAAATTCGTAAGTACACGGAGTCATCAACTGTTGCTATTCCTGCAACCGAATCACCTATCCTTCGTTCTGATGCTACCAGTGCACAGGACTCGAACTAAGAAGACGGCTTATCTGATACCTTCAATCCTAGTCAATATAATTCTCACAAGGAATAAAAAAACAAAACAATTATGATATGACAGAAGTAGGCTAATCAATCCATCTGCATTTCTCCTGACTCATCCAAAACTGAACGAAATATCTGTGATGTGTCTTTCACCAGACCCTATTATAAACATGAATTTTCAAATCATGTAATCTGGCTATATGTATTTCTGAATTGCTATTTGTTTAATTCAGAATTTTGGTGATTGTCTAGTAGAATAGAAAACCCGGTCATGTCAATCGATTCGTAAATGACTTTCACTTTTTATACATTGTACACAAAACATTAAAATTGATTTGAAATCATGGATATTAGTTTTTAAAAAAATAATAAAAATCATGTTAAAAATACAAACTTTACATGCAAATATCAAGTTATGAAAGGAAATGTTTATGTGTATGCGAAGTAATTGGAAATAATCAAAAGAATCATATTCTTATCAGTATTTACACAGCCTATATTATACGTGATTTAGAGCACAAAGGACATTTTACTTCTCCATTGATTAAACAATCTTGATGACAAATATGTTTACAATGGAAAATTGCCCATGGACGATTTTCTGCATCACTTTTAAATTTGTCCTCATCTGTTATCTGATTTACTTTTCGCCTTGATTGCCCGTTGATGCTAAGTATAGGTTGTAGACATATAATACATTCTATAAAAGACAAAGAATTTGAATTCACACGCATTCCTTTCATTTGCATTTTGATAACACGTAAGAATAATTGATGCATATCTGAGAGCAGAATGCGTGAACAACTTTGTTGCAGTTCAAGTTGAATCTATAATGAAAAAAAGGTTTTGAGTCAGTTCACTACACTTCTCAGTGTCAGAATTACCAGTAAAATTGTGACAATGCCATTAAATGCTGTGTATGAGGTAGCAAGACTTTAGTAATAGGAATACGGAATAAAACTGTAATGAGGTTATAATAATAATAATGGATAGGATGAAATGCGCATCCTGGATCCCACGCTAGCCACCATCCTCCATTACTATAATTAAAACACAGGTAATATCGAGGCATCCGCACAGGAGCCCATATGCCAATAGAGACTGGTCAATTTGGTCCAATCAACGACGGTATAATACAAGCAATAACATTAAAACTATACCTGTGGCTATCGTGGCTCGGTGGTGTAGTGGGTAAAACGCTCTAGCGTTTGAAGCGGTAGCTCCCGAGCCCGAACCCCGGTGGGAACAACATGGCTCACTGGGAGGTAGGTACACCCAACTGATGAGTCGCAAATAGGAAGAAATGCGCATCTTGGATCCCACCGCTAGCCACTATCCTTCATTATTATAATTAGGACACAGGTAATATCGAGGCATCCGCACAGGAGCCCATATGCCAATAGACCGGTCAATTCGGTTCAATCAACGACGGTATAATACAAGCAATTACACTAAAGGTTATAATATATTGAATGCAGGAATAAACGAAAAGTTTTGTTCGCTACAGTTCTTCGTAATCACAGAAGAACAGTACTCAGCAATGTAACATATAAACTATAATTTTTGGTAACTGGTTATTGAACCTTTATGAGTCAATATGTGAATCATACAGGATCATATTTATCGGCTAGATAAGATCGAAAGTCTTGGAACCTAAGACACCTATGGTTTATGATGCTGATCCTTTTATAAACTATTCGGACGCTAAAAACTCCAAAATACAGTTCAAGAAGAGCTCGCATAGCAGTTCCACCCGCCAAGAAAATTTTTAGATGGAGAAACGATGGTGGTCAGTGCTTCTCACTTATTCACACTGCGCTGGTTTACATTTTCGAATAACTGATGGGTTTTACTAGCACTACTGTTCGGTAACACACCTCAGGTGTACTTCACCCATTTTAGAAGTGTTGCTTCACGACGAGTAAAGAATTTAGTGACCGCTACTGCTCGTAAGATGAAACCACAAGTTGAAGTACGCAGTTCCTACAGCCTAATTTTAAAACTTCCCTAGAATAGAAGCAAAATCCCAGAAAATAAGGGTCGTCCTACGGGAACAGCACTGTTGTCGCACCCAATTACAATTATTAGCACGACTCTTTCCAGGAGCATCAACACAATTATTCACATTATAATGGTAGAAGCTAAAGGCTGAAGTTATCGACCCATCTCTTTCCGATATGTCAGGATTTGAGAGAACAAGCTTTCTACCTAGTGCAACAAACTGCTTCCATAGGAAAATATAGTTCGCAAACTCATGACTAAAGTGATTTCATAGGAAAGTTGAAACAAGAAATCTGTACTATAGATCACATTGTATGTTGAAAAGGCTACATATTTAAACTTATTTATTCATTCAAAGTATGGAAATGGAATGCATACCTTGTAATCATGCATGAGTTTGATAAGAGCGTTACGGAGACCAGGTATGGTCATATCTGGTGATATTTTACGGAGTAGCAAACGTGAATCAAGACCTTCACAACCTGCATGCTGCAACAACGCACATATAAAGGCAGGTTTATCAGCTGCAAACAAGATAACCTGTTGCCATAATTCACCAGCATTTTCATCGCCTTCATCTTCATCTTTTTCAAAGGTTGAATTATCTGTACTATGGTATCGATGAAAATGGCGTCGGATTTTTGAATGGATTCCGTCCTCTTCTCGACAGTATTCAATTGATTTTGTAGCAGCTATAGCCTGACGTTCTTCTTGTGTTGCTGACTTGTCGATCGAGAGATCTTCACCACCCTGTGTGTTGTAAATTTATTTAATTTCTTTGAAAACGAAACCATGTATCAGAAAATAGGTTTACTGTAGAGTAAAAAATATTGCACGCCAAACAGATCGTTTTCAAATATGACAACCCTACAAATGTGGTCGATAGACTGCTTTATCTAAGCGGTAAATTCTGAAGAGTGATGGCAATTAGGACAATTATTGTTAACATAGGACCAAGCATCACTGCCTAACAGTCCGAGTTGCCACACCTCACATCAGTACATCAAGTAAAAAGGTAGTGAGGTGAAGGATGAAGATAAGATAATGCAGTCAACAGAAATATAAAGTACGAGAAGAAAGAAAGGAAGAATGACAAAATGGTGAGATTCGGTATAGTGTCGTTAAGATGAGGATAATGTGTGTATACATCTGCGCCATTGACATCGGTTCTGAGTAATATCACCTAGAGTCAGTCGCCAACCACTGGTTCCTCTTGCCCCGCCGACCCCAGCCGGCTAGTCTGCATCGCCCCACCACATGGCTCAAACCAACAGTCAGAAGCTTCATACATTGGCGCCATGTTTTAGTGTGGCCACCTCGGGCCTTTTTCCAGCATCGACCTACTTCGGCCAACATTGTGTGACTAGGCATATGTAACACGTGTCCCATCTTGGTCAATGAAGGTTCACAACCACATCAACTGATTTACCTCTACACCTAACTTCTGCATTACTCACGTAGTGACACCACGAAATACGGCTTATACTACGAATGCGACGATGGTCAAACACTTGAAGCCTTCTCATATCTTCCACCTTCAATTGCCATGTTTCACAGCCATACAGTAGAACAGAGCGGACTGCTGTGCAGTGCACGCCACCCTTAATAGACAAACGGATATCACGGCGGTGCCATAGGTGGCGTAAATTGGCAAAAGCCAATCGAGCCATTAGGACAAATAAAAGAATCAATAGTCTAAACACACATACAGTTATAGGGTTTTCAGAAGACCTAAACAGTGGCAATGATCGGCTCTAAAGTTCATCTTGATGATTGCTGAAAAGACCAATAACATTTCTTTATATCGGATTAAAAAAAAGCGGTTTTTCAGATACTACCAACAGGAAATTACTTGATTTTCTCAGTAGTTGTTGTTAGGGTTACCTTTAAAGTAATTCGTTACAATTATTCACATTTGTATGCTCAATAAAATACCATTTCGTTTTTTGAGAATGCTTCGGCTGGGATTATTAAAAAGAAAAATAACGACTTAAACAGTGCATTAGTGGATGTACCATAATCCTTTGCGAAACTAAATTTAACTTGGTTATCTTGAGGTGCAACATTTTTTCCAAATTAAAAAATGGGAACAATTTTCATTGTTCTCTGACTATTATTACCTGCATATCAGGTATTAGGCAATCAATTTTGCCACAAGTCATTTTACCCAAATTGTCGCAGGCCACTAAGTCTATGATCTTATATTAATCTAGACATTAATGCAATAGTAATGATGATTTATTCTTACTATAGACTGAAAACTGGAAGTAGTAAGGTAACGTATGGATAAAGATAATCTCAAAAGTTTTATAATTTACAAAAAATATGTTAATTATAAGTACCCATCTTGTCAATAAACCTCGCCTAGCTTACTAGCCAGTCCTAAGCCCGGATAAAAAGGGAAAGTTGGGCGTGAGGTTAGCGACCTTATCCCATAAAACCAGTCCAATCGGTAAAGAAACTTCAAAGGACAGACGAAATGTACAAAAAAACTTATTCGTCGCCGGAATTGGGGAGACCCCGGTAGGTGAAAACCTTCGGGAAGCCAATGGGTCGATGTGTCTTCTCTCGATGAAAGTAAAAGTAAGCATAGGGATATGGAATGTCTACACAATGTTTGAAGCTGGCAAGGACGTGTTACTGAAGCCTTATGTTCTACTAGGAACCTAAGGGACAAATAATAATCTTGTCAATAATCGTATATTACAGAAAATTCACATTTAACATTCTGGAAATACGAGGACTAATAAGATAGTGTTATCATCCACTTCATCATCACACGGACATATCTTTAAAACAATTTGAATCACGATAAATTCACCTGCATAGTATGCAGAAATTATCGAGGGAGATAAGTTAGTTTGAACCACATGATGTCTAATATGCAAATGCCGAAGTTTCACCGTATTAGTGCTGATGATGACCAAGGTACCAAAGTATGGTGTATGCAGTGACTGTACGGTACGCCCATTATGCAAGGTATTCATAAACTTCGGCTACCAAGTCATGTCAGTTGAAACGGGTTTCGAATAAACCGTATGAACCACAGAGCAACAAGTTAGCACGTTAATTGGTTGGATGCAATCGATAGGAAACCCTCGACCTAAGTATCATGCTTGCTGGCGCTGGTCGGCAAGGCGTATCTGCAACTTCTAGGGGAACTGATATCCCCTGTGAAATTTGAACCCACATCACCAATTAAAATCCATGAAAGTGCATTGTGATGATGAGTCTCCTAGCTTGGTGGCCACATTGCGAAATGATCGGCAGAATTCGGTCAGGATTAGACAACACGAGATTGGTGGCACCCGGTGACCAATCAACGTAACAACTCAGCATATTATGTAATACTTATTATTAATGCTGTGTTCTTTTGCACAGCCACATTTTTTAGTGGATACAGTGTATCCATCTATTTATGATCTCGATTTCGAATGTCACAAAAAGTTATGTCTTTTACACCAAATGCACTGATATTTACTCTCAGTACTCAGCGCCGTAATTAGTATAACTTGTTTGATAACGTGTAAATAAATCACCTCAAATAATCTATAAAACTTGAATTATCAATGACGTACCCTTGTCATAATTAACTGTAAAGCATCATGACGTCTTCCAACTCTTGTTAATAGGTACACAGTTTCTGGTACAAGTTTGGCATGCTCACATAGGCTTAAAGCTTCACTTAATGGATATCGATCCGTTGACCGTAACAACGGTAATAGTTTACTTCGACAAAACTTGATGTATAATGATATGAGACGAGTTAAATATGGATATATTATTTGTGGGAATTTGGAGTAAACACAGTCTAAAAACTAAAAATCACGAAAGTAGATAAAGGTAAGAAATATATATATATATATATATATATATATATATATAAAATAATTACATAAAATAAGTACTCCATTTCAAAATGTTAGTGTCTACTGAAATGAAATATTTCCAACCGATTTTAGTATACAAATTACATTTTTAGTGTAAGGCATGCTGTGTGCAAACACTCTGCCATGAACTGGCGAAAAAATGGATAGATAAATGTAGTTTCACAATAACCGTGCACCATTTAAGAAACTGAAGTTTGTATTTTAATATCTACAATTTTCATCGTATAGTATATAGAGTTTAAAATGTGATGTTAACTGTTTCTGCCTTAGACTATGGAGAATGTTTAACAAACATACAACAGTTTATGGTAATAGCAAGCTATTTGTATGTTTGTTACCCTTTCATTTCATTGTGCTAGGACTACGTCCTAATCACAGTAAAATTGTAAAACAGTGTAAATATAATTTTTTTTTCTCCCGTTGCTACTAACTGCATAACCTTCAAGTTATTTTGTACTGCACGTCGGTTTGAGCATGCTATTCGTAGGAAACGGATGAAGCTGACAAAAAAGGTGTATGTGGTGAACTAATCTAGACTTGAATGGGAAATGCAGTTTGTATCTATAGTGATCATGAAGTCTTAAGTACAGGAAAGAGGTTGTTAGTTTCATGTTGGATACAGTGAACCCGTCCAACTTAACGTATAGTTTTCTGCATACAGGATGTAAAAAGAAAGAGAAGGTTATCAGAGATGATAGGCTCTTAATGACTGAATTGGTAGATTCTCTTTTATCTTAATCAGGCAGAAAACTAGAAATCAAAATTATTTTGAATGAATCAACCGGATGAATAACTGCAGTAGGTCAAAATACCTTTGCATTCCCACTCTTCTGTCGATTTTACAGGAGATTATGACCATTTCGGATGAAATGGTAGAAAATTAGTGAAAACAAGTATTCGGTCAAAGGTCCACATGTAATGGGATCAAACAAAAGACGAATATTGAGCCCAAGAGCTAGAAAAGTCTGTCAATGAGATAAGAAACCCACATTGACTGAAATGATTTGAACATGTTTCACACACGCAATCATTGACTACCCGAATGTAGCATTTTAATCCATGAAGAATTAAGCTGTACAAAAACGGAGGGCGGCTAGACTTAGATGCAGCACTAATGCATAGAGCTGGTAATCTGTGCAGCATATGCGGCTAGAATTCATGCAATATTTAGAGCATCCCAACAATATGACAGACTCGATCAAATTGATGGAAATGTATTCCAAGTTGTTATTCATCGCAGACTGACATCACTTGAAGGAACAATGGAAACCTAAGAGCACTGGACAGCTATTTCGTTCGACCAGTATGGGACTCCTCAACAGTGCGCACCCACGACCCCGCAACCTTCAGAATCCGCGGCCAGCGCGTTACCATTGAGCCACTGGGTCAAAATCCAGTGGTCCATATTTCCAAATTCTGTTAGCTCACGATATAGCGCAACCACCACCCAATGTCATCGTTGAGTAACTGTCCTCACGATCATCAGGCTTTGTCCCCTTCAGCTTCGATCCCTGGCGGGGTCGTGGGTGCACACTGCTGAGGAGTCCCATACTAGGACGGAACAGCTGTTCGGTGCCCCCAGGTTTCCTTTATCCCTCTAACTGATATCAGTCTACGATGGATGACAACTTGGAATATTTCCAAATCCCCACAACTCCCTCAAAATTTAGTGGAAATGTATTCACCCTCATCTTCAAAATACTGAAAATATCATAAATCCCATTCATTCATACCCTCTTCTAATACACACACATATCTACTTTGATATCGCTTTCTCTGTGTGCTACTGTGAATAACAGTAACTTGAACTTCTCCATCTTTTGAATTTTGAGAGAATTGTGGAGATTTGGAAATATTTCAAGTTGTTATTCATCGTAGACTGACATCAGTTGGAGGAACAAAGGAAACCTGGGAGCACTGGACACCTGTTTCGTCCGACTAGTATGGGACTCCTCAACAGTGCGCACCCACGACCTCGCCAGGGGTCAAGCCCACGACCTTCAGGTTCCACGGTCAGCGCGTTACCATCGAGCCACTGGGTCAGAATCCAATGCTCCATATTTCCAATGAGAAGTCGTGACCGGTGGAGTCAAAGCCTGATGGTCGTGAGGACAGTTACTCAACGATGGCATTGGGTGGCAGTTGCGCTATATATCGTGAGCTAACAGAAGTTGGAAATATGGGCCACTGGATTCTGGCCCAGTGGTTCAATGGTAACGTGCTGGCCGCGGAACCTGAAGGTCGCGGGTTCGATCTCTGGTGGGGTCGTGGGTGCGCACTGCTGAGGAGTCCCATACTAGGACGAAACAGCTGTCTAGTGCTCCCAGGTTTCCTTTTTTGTAACTGATGTCAGTCTACGATGGATAACAACTTGAAATATTCCCCATCTTTCATGAAAAGTTCCACTTTAGTCAAGATAAGAATTGATAATTGTAACTGCAATGCAAACGAAAAGAAACTGGTTGTTTACACTGAGTAAATTTTATAATGTTCGTTTAATCCATAATTATTTATCAGGATAGATTTCTGATTCATTATAAATCAAATAACAAAAAAGAATATGAGTTCCAAGTAAACGAACAAAATATTCTGTGAAATATGAAGTGACGGAAGAAGAATATACTGTAGAATATCATGTTTCAACACTTATCACTGTCTGCTAAGATGACTCAAAAGATCTCCAAATTAATATAACCGTTTTAACACCTATGAAAATTTAATATGAGATAAGGAATGATAAATATCTGGTCAATATAAAAAATATGCATAACATTAATTCACTTCGTAATTAAGCTAGTAATATCGTCATAGAATGTATGAGGATAGAGAAGTTTAATTGTTTTTTGTATCTTTCCAATCTTGGTATATATATATCCAGTGAATCGAGTATATACAAAAATGTTTGACTATTGAGTATGATTAATACTATACACCTAAAGCTATAGACTTACTTGATAAAGCAGCTGTGAGTCTGAATTAAGCTGATTTACAATATAATCAACCTGCGAAAAATAATTGACAAAAAACATTAGTGGCAATCCATACTGAAAAGAATACTAAAGTACAACAGACTAATATATATATATATATATATATATATATATATATATATATATATATATAGTAAGAAGTACTCGGTATATTAATCAGCAATAATGATACTATATACGCTAGTTCGTCCTGGCAAAATATTGGATCGATTATATTCTGAACACAACTTGGCATGAATATGTTTAGTTCAAATTCTCCTTATGAATGAGTTGAGTTTAAATGGAATCGCTGTAAAAAGCACATGACAGCAACAGCTTTTTCTTGATGAAAGTGGCTTATTGCATTAAATTTCACTTACATATACGTAGGTATGGTAATAGTCGTTAATTTGAGATACTGTGAAATGTTTGTGAGTTAAATAAAAAGTCAAAATATGGAAGGTTTGTGTGATAACTATGAGTCCTTGGTGTTAGCTAAACAAAAACTTTCAAATAGTCCTCAAATCCTTTGGCTACTGGGACACCACCAATGGGATTAAAAATTGTTAAATTAGCATCCAGCAAAATGTGATCTTCTGAAATAAGCGTTTACCTGTAGGCAACTGTTTCAAGCATTAATTTCTTAGAAGTTTTTTTTTTTATTTATTCAAACTTACACTCTGTTATGTGAATATACTGAAAAATGCAGTTTTATGAAAACGGTGGGAAATCATCTAGAAAGGTTCGACATGCATACAAATGTAAGCCAGGAAAAACAATCTGACAGAAAGCAATACAGCACTTTAGATACATAAATCACTTCACTGATAATAATAAAAAAGGTGCTCGATCACAAAAAAGCCTAGAGGAGATACCAAAATTATTGTAGACAATCAGCAACTTACAACAAGAAGTCTACATTATTGCGACTTTTCAAGATGAAAAAACATCAAATTAAGAGTGGTATATGTACATGGGTTATTCAGCGGACACTAAAAGTTGAACATAAGAACAGTAACTCAACGACGGCACTGGATGAAAGTCAAAGGACAAAAGTAGGAAATATGGACCATCAGATTCCGACCCAATGACTCAATGATAACATGCTGGCTGTGGAACTTAAAAGTCCTGGGTTCGACACCTGGCGGGGCCACGGGTGCGCACTACTGAGGAGTCCCATAGTGGGACGAAATAGCTGTCCAGTGCTCCCAGGTTTCTAATCTTCCTACAACTGATATCAGCCCATGAATAAATCCTAACCTGAAATCAATAAGTTAATAAATCCTCATACCCCTTCTAAATTGAAAAAGAGACCCAGCTTACCGAAACATGATCGATATGATCCATTAATATGTTAATCGCTTTCATTGTATCCAACTCCATGAAAGGAACCAAATAATCTTTAAGTATATCTGCTAATCTACGATCTTTAAGTTTGATGACATTATGTTTCAAAAGAACAAAAACTTGTGGATCACGTAGACGAACTAGAATATTAATCGCCTGTTCATATGACCCCATCTGTTCGTAAGCAACTGCTAAACCATGATACAATGCTTGTACTTCTAAATCTAGCTTGCTTATATCAATGGCTTCTATATATATATACATGTAAGGGAAATAATGAAAGAAACACTATCAGTAAACAAACAACAATGGGATAAAACTGTGAAGAACAAATTCATATTTAAAAAAAATTGTTTACAGAAATTCTGATATAATGTAAACATTACTATAGCGGGTATTTGGATCTTTTCTGACATCCTTACAAAATAACACTTTCCGACTACAAATAAATATATCTTATATACTCTCTAGTATGGAGCCGTGCTCATCAAGTGGTATCGTCAAGGCTGTCCACTCTCTCCATTCTTATTCAATTTTATCATAGATATTCTTATGAAGATCTCCCTCTTATCACCTGACTACAATACACAGGTTGACCTAGTCTCAGGAGGATTTTCGTTTGACCTAGAATATGCAGATGATATAGTCCTGTTAGGTGAAGATACTGAAAAGATGCAGAGTCTTCTAGACACTTTGAGTTGCAATTTGAGAATGTATGAGATGCATCTCCCACCACCCAACTGGAAATTATTACACCAGAATTCGTCTCAAACGATGCCTTAGCTAACAATAGAAAGTGTAGTGGTTGAGTGTGTTGACCACTTGGAACATGGCGATTGAAGGTGAAAGACATGAGAAGGCTTCAGGTGTTTGACCATCATTGCCTCCGTAGTATAAGCCATATACTGTGGTGTCACCACGTGAGTAACACAGAAGTCAGGAGTAGAGTTTTAGGAAGAAGAGGTAAGTCAGTTGACATGGTCGTGGACCTTCATCGATTGAGATGGCTGCGACACGTGTTACGTATGCCTAGTCACCGATTGCCTCGTCACACAATGTTGGCCGAAGTAGGTTCAGGCTGGAAGAAGGCCCGAGGTGGCCAGGCTAAAACATGGCACCAATGTATGAAGTCTCTGACTGTTGGTTTGAGCCATGTGGTGGGACGACGCAGACTAGTTGGTTGGGGTCGGCGGGACAGGAGAAACCAGTGGTTGGAGACTGAATCTAGGTGATATGGCTTAGAACCGATGTCAGTGGTGCAGATGTATGCGCACATTATCCTCATCTTAACGACGCTATATCGAATCTCACCATTTTCTCAGTCTCTCTCTCTTTGAGTACCTTATATTTCTTTTGACTGAATTTTGTTTTCTTCATCTTCCAAATCACTGTCTTTTTACTTGGTGTACTGATATGAGGTGTGGCAACTCGGACCGTTAAGTAGTAATGCCTGGTCCTATGTTGATTTGGATGGATGGATGACTGTCTAGTTTGAAGGATGTACGATATCTGAGGCGATCAAATTTTGTAATGAGTGAAAACTATCGTATCACAGCTGGATTAGATTTATACTATTGCCCTAAATGTTGTAAATATTAAGTGATATATATTCAAAATGCGGAGGTAGGATTTCTTCAAAATGATTATATTACAGCTTAGTAAGGCGAAGTTATAATGATAATAAGATATCCCATTTAATTTGGGAGAAGGGGGTTTGTAGGGATTTAGAAATATTCCAAGTTGGTACTCATGGTAGACTGACATCAGTTGGAGGAGCAATGAAAACCTGGGAGCACAGGACAGCTATAACGTCCTGGCATGTGGATCTTCAGCAGTGCACACCCACAATCCCGCCAGGGATCGAACCGGGGACTTTCAGGTTCCGTGGCCAGCACGTTACCATTGAGCCACTGGGTCGGAATCCAAGGGTCCATATTTCCAACTTCTGTCAGTTCACGACATAACACGACCGCCACCCAATGTCATCGTTGAGTATTTATCCTCACAGCCACCAGGTTTGCCCCACTGGTCACGACTTCTCACTGGAACTTCGGGGATCACACCTCTCGAAGCTAGTCACCAATGAGCACTAGTTAAATTGAATTTGGGGGGTTTCTGGGATTTAGAGATATTTCAAGTTGGTATTCAACGTAGACTGACATCAGTTGGAGGAACAATGGTAACGTGCTAGCCACGGAACCCGAAGCTCGAGGGGTCATGGGTGCGCACTGCTGGGGAGTCCCACACTAGGATGAAACAGCTGTTCAGTGTTCCCAGGTTTCCCCTGTCCCTTCAAATGATGTCAGTCTACGATGAATACCAACTTGAAATATCCTATTTAGTTAAACAATTTTCAGAGATATTTAAAACCTATCTAAAAACACCATTAAACAGGTTAAGGGCATATCAATTGACACTGAAGCAGGTTGTTATTACAACTAACAGTAGCCGAAGTAGTATCATCTTTACAACAGTGATATAGAATACATTAGCACAAGCACTAAGGTTAACTTCAATGTCATTCACATTTACTCGTTAATAAGAAGATAGATTATTGTGTAATAATTATGTGAGAAAACTTACCAGATAGGGAAGTACGGTGTTCAATACAGTCTAATAAACTCCGAATAAAATTTTCATTGATATTAATGACACCTAATTTACACCATTCAGTTAATAAATGAACAAATTGAACAGGGATCCGATTCATATAATCAATTAAATTAATTCGTATACAGAAGTGTTCAGTTTAGCTGATTTCTCTTCACCGCCAACTGGAATGTATGGAACAATAGCCTAATATTTTTTTTAAAAATAATTACGTGAATAAATTGATCAGTAAACATACGATATCTATATTGTCAGTATTAAATGGGAAAGTATAGACACACAAAAAGTGTAAAATAGTATCAGTATCAGTAAGAAGATCTAAAAATAAGCAAAAACTTGATAGTTGTATGTTCCTAGTCTAAGAGCCATTGGTGAACACTCTGTACATTATTCGGTAATTCTCATGATCAGCATGTGACACATAGGTCAACGACTGATATATCTTGACTGCAGACAATTTGTGGTAGAATAGAATTGGCCTCAAATATAGTCAATGACTACCACTGGCTACGACGATCATAGCTGACCTCAATGTTTACCAGTTTAGTCTACATTCTCCTCTTCAAAGAGATTCATTAACACATCGAATCGAATAGACACTAATCTGCATCATTTTGACAAGTTAACTAATAACAATAAATAACTTCAAGGAGTATTAACTGCAAAAGTGATCCACAAAACATACAACTGTAGCTTATTAATCTAAGATATTTGGTTTCCAACCACTGATGCATAGGTTAAGCGTCCATTCTACGTGCCGAGGAAAAAACAGGAATCCACAGTATCTGTAGAACGAAAACGAAACGCATTTAGCCACCTTGTGCACATCCATTCAGGAGGCAATGAGCCACACTTATTGTGTGAGGGCTAGTGATACTTCGTGACTGCTTAGACTTTGGTAGATGGAACGTGGTTCCAACCCAAACCATTCTACAATATACTTAAAGAACTTCACATTTACCTCGTTAAACTACTGCACATTGACAATACAACAAAGCACCCTCTTGTTGTGATAAAGTAGAATGTTTCAACACATCTAATTATTCTGACTGGTCAGATTGAGATGTTTCACTGAAAAAGACATCATAAGCAGTATTGTTTTCAAGCTGAAGTCGACTACTGCTGAATATTTTTTTCCTGGGTCTGATTATTCGAGACTAGCTAGACATTGTGGATATTTTATATCCCATCTAATATATCGGCTAAATATTTTATAAAGCATAATACGTTATGTCTTTCTACACTTAATTATACAAGACTTATTTACAAATACTGGTAGCCAGAAGACTTCTGAACAGTTTTATTTAATAAAATTGCGACGTTTTCTTAGAAGAAACTTTATACAATAAACTGAACAAAAAGCAGTTTGTGGATGAGATCATCCCAAGTAGTTTTGGCTTAAAAACCATGATCTCTATATAATGGAATGACGACTAAAGTTGGAACAAGAATTCGTGGCGTGTCATTCAAGTTAGCAGGGTTACGGCAGTCACCCGTCACTTTCACATGACACTGGTGAAAACTCTCTATGACCATACTAAAACTAATATCACGTTGGTAACTGACTTTAGTACCTCTGCTAGAAGAACGTGAGCTGGGTAATTCAGGGGTTGCTAGTTGAAATTAGCCTTTAGACACCCATTCGTTATATAAAAACACAATTTGATCAAAAGCCATACCTCTAGATGACCAAGACTGTAAAATTTTTGAATATGTTCTTCCCAAGCTTCTTTCGTTGATAAAACTTGGGAGCAAAGCTTTCCAGCTTCATCGAAATGACGTCCACTTAAGAGGTGATCCACGTATATGATACCAACAGACTACCAAGACATAAAAATTAAAAAAAATGATACTGAAAATTAGCAATATTACTCTAAGCATGGTTTTCACGTAAAGCAACAGAAAATTAGCTCAAGTTGTTATTCATTGTAGACTGACATCAGTTGGAGGAACAAAGGAAACCTGGGAGCACTGGACAGCTGTTTCGTCCTAGTATGGGACTCCTCAGCAGTGCGCACCCTCAAAAGAAAATCAGCTAGTTGAAAAGTAAGTAATTATTGAATACTTCTGAATCTAATAGTTTAAGAACTAGAATTTAAATAAAATACTTAGAAAACATGTGATAATTTTTAAAAAAATTACTTAAACCGATCTGCGACTTGACACCAAGAAAAACACTGATGTACACACTTCATGGCCATTTTATCTATTCAAGATCAAAGTAATCAGTGATATAATAAGACAAATTCAGATCTCATACAGTAAAAAAAATATATTAGGAAAAGCTGAATCTCTATATTAGATTTGTTTATTTGATTTAGAATGCACAGTGATACAGCATCAATTATCACTGCTCATAATCAGATCAATGTAATCACACTACTTTCAATATCTGATTTTTATAGCCGATGACTTGTGGCTAATGTCACACAAACTTGAAGATCTACAGGCGAAACCCACCAAGTTGACAGAAGAGGCAGGGCAGCGAAGACAGGACTTCAAGTGAACGTAGAGAAGATAGAAGTGATGAAGATACCCAACCAACATCGCCACCGACAACAACTAGCTCCAATCATCATCAACGGGATAAACCGAAAGGAAATGGCTTCTTTCACCTATCTAGGCAGCATCGTTTCAACTACAGGCGGCACAGGCACAGACAAGGACGTCAAAGCCAGCCACGATCGGAAAAACAAAACAGGCGTTCATTAACCTGAAACCATTGTGGAGATCTATTGCGCTGCACTCAGCATAAAGCATGAACAAGAACAACACTGATTCAGTCAAGTCAGTGTTTCTATGTGATGGGTGAGAGACTCGGAGTGTTACGAAAAGCATTTCCAACAAACTGCAGACATTCATCAACAACTGCCTACGCTGGCTCGTTACTGAAGATCAGACGAGATGGTCAGAAACAATAAGCAACAAGGAACTCTGGCTGGCTGACAAAGAACCAACGAAGCAAGAACCTATCGCTGAACAAATATGCACTGGGAGGAAGTGGAGATGGATTGGGCATACACTGAGAAGACCGACTGGGGACATCAAGCGCCAGGCCATCAAGTGGAAACCAGATGGGAAGTGACGAGTTGGGCGTCTGAGCTGAGGGTGACATGAAGGAGATCGTGCGAGGAAGAAATGAGAGCTTCTGTGGTCTCGTGGAGCCAGGTTCAAAAGATTGCAGAGAAGAGAGTGGAATGGAGACGCGCTACTGAAGCCATATGTTCCGCTAGGAACCCAAGGGATAAATAATATAATAATAATTCGCTTTCTTTGCTGCTGTTCATCGTACAGGTGTTTCTGGTCTGGAGTAAATGGACGACTAGAGCATGAACCATTCAGATCAAACTGAGTTTCTATCTCCTCATTTACCTATGCTTAATTTAGAAGTTACCAAAAGTTTTTAATATTGAGCTTAAGGACTCACAGAAAACATACAAGGTCTAGTAAAAGACGATGCAACAAACCAACTATCACAGCTACCGTCTTGATATAGTCGGAGATTAAAACTATACACCTCACACAGGAAGTTGCTATCGTGGCTCGGTAGCCTAGTGGATAACACTGGCGTTCCGAGTTTGAATCTGGGTGGGGACAATACTCACTGAGGTGTAGGTACATTCGGCTGAGGAGTCCCAGACAGGACGACACACGCGTACTGGATTCCACTGCTAGCCACTATCCATCAGTAATACATTATAGGAGATAGTTTGACTAGATTATAGTAGAAATTTAGAAGTGGGTTAAGTAGACAGAAAAAGGCTGATGACAGCATCCTTTTGAACTCCGCAACCATGTTTCAGATGTTTGATAGCTATCACCTTAGAAAACGTATAAGACGTCTACATTATTTCCTGTATCGCTCAGATGTTGGGCAACTGTTCTGCTGAAATTGTTTATTCTTCAGTCGTAAGCTTTTAAGAATGTGTTCAAAAATCTCAACATAGTGTAATCCTTTGTACCCATATATAAACTGATATAGGCATTTCGAAGAAACAAAAAGTGTACCTATCGAGTTCCAACTACAGCAATGAGCGTATTTGATGCAGTGGAACCAATTTAGATGCAAGGAGGTTCTATGTAGGATTTAATATAGGTGTAAAACTTGGGCACTATGGTGGAATTTAATTCCATATTAGATTTGTTTATTTGATTTATAACACACACTGACAGTATTATTTACTTGATGACGTTTTGAGCATAAATTAGTACTGCTCATTATCATATCAAATGTAATCACTCAACTTTCAACATTTGATTCTTATAGTTATGTGACCTCATATGATTTTTTTATTGGTAGTAAAATTTTTCACATCTCTGGTATTGGTGTTGCGTCATTTCTATTACATGTGTTGGGTGATTCGATGAACAAAGATTCAGTAATCAATCTCTCCATCTCTTCCTCTAATTATAGTGGACTTGAGTACACTGATTTTATCTCACTCTATTGTGCAGTTGTGACTTAATGCATGCAATGCAATAGCCGGGTTTTTTTCTAGATTATTGATCTCATTCAGGTCTCTCATTCTATAGTTAGCTAAACTCCTACGTTCTGCTATTCTAACTAACCCCGATCGGCTAGTTTGACCTATGTACTTGACCTCACAGTCATTGCATGGAATTTGATACATTAAATTATTTTGCTTAATTAATTCTATAGGGTCCTTAAGTTGACAAAGTTTATCTCTGAGTGAGTTTGTAGGTTTACGTACGGTCTTTAACAAAGTTGAAATTAGGATGGCATTCAAACGTACAAACTCGCTCAGAGATAAACTTTGTCAACTTAAGGACCTTATAGAACCAATTAAGCAAAATAATTTAATCTACCGAATTCCATGCAGTGACTGTGAGGTCAAGTACATAGGTCAAACTAGCCGATCGGGGTTAGTTAGAATAGCAGAACGTAGGAGTTTAGCTAACTATAGAATGACAAATCCGAATAAAATCAACAATCCAGAAAAAAAAACCCGGCTATTGCAATGCACGCAATAACACACAACCACACAATAGGATGGGATAAAGCCACTGTGCTCAAGCCAAATATAATTAGGTGGAGAGAGATGGAGATTGATTATTGAATCTTTGTTCATCGAATCACCCAACACATGTAGGAGAAGTGACGCAACACGTATACCAGAGATATGGAAAGTTTTACTACCAATAAAAACAAACCATATGTGACAACTATGAAAATCAAATGTCGAAAATTGTGTCATTACATTGATATATTTATGAGCAATGATAATTTATCCCTGAAATTAAATAATACTAGATGATCATCATCATTATCAACATAGGATCAGGCATTACTGCGCAACGGTCCGAGTTGCCACACCTCATATCAGCACATCAAGTAAAAAGGTAGTGAGGTGAAGGATGAAGATAAGTGAATGCAGTCAAAAGAAATATAAAGTACGAGAAGAAAGGAAAGAGGAGTGACAAAATGGTGAGATTCGGTATAGCGTTGTTAAGATGAGGATAATGTGTGTATACATCTGCGCCACTGACTTCGGTTCTGAGCCATATCACCTAGGGTCTTCAACCACTGGTTCCTCTTGTCCCGTGGACCCCAACCACCTAGTCTGCATCGTCCTACATGGCTTAAACCAACAGTCAGAGACTTCATAATACTAGATCACTGTGTGTTATAAATCAAATACACAAATTCTAATATGAGATTAAATTCTACCATAGTGCCCAAGTTTTACACCTATATTAATAGCTGAATCTGGGCTAACACGACTGCATGGAACAACATATCACGAGAACAGAAGAAAAGTTTTTAAATTAGACTAAGAAACATGCCCATTGAGTCATAGAGAAGAGATAATTCAGCGAAGAAAATTTTCTTTTTCGACGATATTTTCTAAAGCTGTACAATCGTATTTATATATATCATAAACATATAACAGTATATTATAAAACAATAGGGTATAATTACATCACTAACCAAGTGCTAAAAAACCGAACTCAAGATTGCAAAGTAGTTGCGTAATAATCTAAGACAGTAGAAATATCGAGCAAGGCGAGGAGTTTGACAAGGTGAAAATTGTTGGTAGATAAGAAATGCAAATATTGAGTGTCCACTTGAAAGATAGGTGTAAAGAAGGTGAAGAATGATACAAGGGTCGTAATGAAGATGATAATAATAAACTAATTAATTATAATGAAATCGAAAAAATGGTGAAAGTGTTAAGACCATGGTAAGATGAGAGACTGAACATACTTCTTTTGCACGCAGAGATCAGGCTTGAATTGATGAATTACCAGTGCATCCGCTGTGCACAACTGTCGAAGGTGTACTCTTTTTGAACAATCCCATCTGACACTATAAATGACACTGAAGGAGGATTCTGGTCTAGCTTTATGTCCAGAGTTGACCAAATTGTTCAAGAACTGAACTGTTAATTGATTTACATTCTCCCCTCGACAACCATGCAGGATAGTGCTCCGAGATACGTTTGGAAAGCGTGCGCAAACCTCTTCGGCCAACATTGTGTGATGAGGCAGACGGCAACTAAGCATGCGTAACACGTGTCCCAAACATCTCAGTCGATGAAGGTTCACAACCACATCAACTGATTTACCTCTTCTCCTTAAAACTCTAAACATCACGTCTGTGTCACTCACGTGGTCACACCACGGAATACAGCCTATATTACGAAGCAACAATCGTCAAACACTTCAAGCCTTCTCATGTCTTCCACCTTCAATGGCCATGTTTCACAGCCATTCAGTAGAACACACCGGACTGCTGTGCAGTACACACCACCCTTAATACACAAACCGATATCACGGCAGAGCCATAGGTGGCGTAAACTGGCGAAAATCAGTCGAGCCTCTTGTATTCGTGTAGAAATTTCGTCGGCCAATGAGCCACAACAGCTGATTCCACTTCTCGGGTAAGTTAAGTGGTCGACACACTCAACCACTTCACTTCTATTGTTAGCTGACGCACCGTTGAAGACCAATCCTCGAGCAACAATTTCCAATTGGATGGTGAAAAAAGCATCCCAAACATTCTCAAATCCCCACTCAAAGTGTCCAGAAGACTCTGCATCTTGTCAGCGTCTTCACCTAACACGACTATGTCATTTGCATATTCTAGGTCCAACGAAAATTCCCCTGTGATTAGGTCAACCCCTTTGTAGTCAGGCGACGAGAGGGAGATTTTCATAAGAATATCTATGATAAAAATGAATAAAAATGGAGAGAGTGGGCAGTCTTGGCGGACACCAGTCGATGAGTACAGCTCCCCGGATATCCTACCATAAGCTCTAACGCGCCCATAAATGTTCGAGTAGACAGCCTTCAATATCCTTTCTTGATATGCTAACAACAAGGAAACCTAAACTGATCAACAACCTACAGCAAATCTACATGGAATAGGAGACAATCAAATTCCTACAGCTTTTTTCTGAAAGAAAAGTAAAAGAACTTGGTTCTTTCTTTCTCATCATAAGTCCGGAAAATACGTAAAGAAGATAGTGTAGAGGAGTAGCTAACACTTTTGGAATAAAGCTTCATGGAAATTGGATATTCACCAACTTTAGTGGAGTGCAACAGTAGAGATTAAAAAACATCTGACCCACTTCTGGAAATGTCATATCTTCATAAATGAACGTTTTATGCTTTATTTTTCTAAATTTATCTTACGGAATTTCCGAGTTACCTTTTTCGCATCTTTTTCCGCCCTACACATATTCGCTGTTTTACCGCTTATACGAACGCTGTTTCACTATAGGTCAACCTTTCAATTTTAACATGCTATTTTATCAAATTATTTTTGATTTCCTGATTCAACTGGATTCAATAATATCTAGATGAGGATGATGAAGAATAAAAACGTAACTTGACCTGGTTTCAATTCATCCCATATACCGAAACTACCAGCAAATGTGCACCCACAAATCTCAATCTGCGATTCACACACATTCATCACATATAACACACTTTATATGGACCTCATCTTTGTTCAACAATTTGACAATGCAGAATCATCCATCCAGAAGAAGTCAAATCAAGAGTCATCATACATAAGATGGATATTGTAAGATCCAGTTCACCACAAACTTTGATGAAGCTGTTAGTAATAAGTAGCAAAACATCAGTTAAAATCAAAATTTGTTTTAAACGTTGGTTAGTTACAGGAGTTATCTAGTCCTGGGTGCAAATCGATTCTTATCGGTTCGAATTTCAAGCGGGATATCATTTACGTAGAGTACCAGAAAACACGAAACCTACTTGCCGGGCTTCCTGCTGATCGCCTTCAGCTTAAAAACCAATTTTTAGCCTACATTCATTGTGAAATACACATACCAGGACCAGGCTGCTGCAAGTACTCCCAGTTTAATGATAAGGAGTGAGGTGTTGGAATGTGTCAACTACTTCATTTACTTGAAGAGTTGCTTCAGTTCTAACAGGTTGCTTGCTGACGAAATCTCAGTTCGGATAAAGATAGCCCGTTTGGCATCTCCCCACTTACATAATTTGTGGCGCCGACTACCAGAGAACAAGTACACTGCACTGCTGTCCCTTCTGTCCTGTTATACGGCTGTTAGACATGACAGTTAAAAGTAGAAGATATGAAGGGATTGCAACGTTCTCATCATACATGGCTTCGTAGCATTATTCATCTTTGGTTGAATCACTATGTGAGCAATGTTGAGGTCAGGTGAAGAGTACTAGGCAAGAAAGGTAAGTCAACTGATGAGGTTGTGAACCTTAGTAGAGTGAGATGCCTCGGGCATATACTGTGCATCCCGATCCACCCCCTACCTTGGCGTATCATCCTAAGGGAAGTTGGATTACGCTGGAAGAGAATTCAGAGTCTTCACACCAAGACAAGGCACCAGTCGATGAAGTCTCTTAGTATTGGTCTGAGTCATGTGGGGGAGATGTAGACTACTTGGATGAGGTCCATAAAACGAATCACTCGTTGAGGTATTTTGGTGAAATGGATGAAAAGCGATCACAATAGCGCTTGGATATTAACACGAACCTTAATCTTCAGATTGTTTACTCTCTCACACTTCTTTATCTGCTTTGGTATCACTACTTTTCTATCCACCTGTTCTTCTTATACTACTGTGAAGTGTGGTAACTTCAGGCGATGTATTTGTGTGCGAGATTCTACGTTGATTTTATTTATCTGTCCGTCTTTTAGTTACCTTCAAATAACATGTACATGATCCAGAATATTTGCTGTTAAATATGTACTTATATAACTAAGCTGATCAACTGGCAAAAGTGTTGAGATATTTTCTTCTCTTCTTTCTTATTTCAATGATGAACAATTAAAAATATAAACAATATTACAAAAACCTTGAATTAATCCTGCTAAATTGTGTCGAAGAATTCACAACTCTAATTCAAAACAGAGGATAACTTTGCGTCGTGAAGTTCACCATCATCATCTAACAACACAGGACTAGGCATTACTACTTAAGGGTCCGAGTTGCCACACCTCATATCAGTACACCAAGTAAAAAGGCAGTGATGTGGAAGATGGAGAGAACAAAATTCAGTCAGGAAGAATGACAAAATGGTGAGATTCGGTATAGCGTCGTTAAGATGAGGATAATGTGTGTATACATCTGCGCCATTGACATTGGTTCTGAGTAATATCACCTAGAGTCAGTCTCCAACCACTGGTTTCTCCTGTCCCGCCGACCCTAACCAACTAGTCTGCATCGCCCCACCATATGGCTCAAACCAGCAGTCAGAGACTTCATACATTGGTGCCATGTTTCATTCTAGTCGCCTTGAGCCTTCTTCACAGCCTGGACCAACTTCGGCCAACATTGTGTGACGAGACAGAAGACAACTAGGCATGCGTAGCACGTGTACCAACCATCTCAGTCAAGATATCCGACTTCATGAAGTTAGTTATATTGAGTGGTGAATGTTATCGATAAAATTGTGTTAAATTTTGCTATCATTAATAACTTATACTTCAAAATACCAAAAAGTTTGAATGTTATAACTTTTGAAAAAAAAAACCCAAACTATCAAGTACACTCACTTGGATTGTATGACGAGTTAATAATCGTGGATGTTGTTGAGCAATTTCAAGTCCTTTAAGAAATAAATTATTTTCAAGTAACCAATCAATACGATCATCAAGAGTTAATTCTTGAGCACAAAATACTTCTTTTTTTGAAAAAATATAATGTGTATTTTCATGAGGGACACTAGCTAATAAAAGAGAATAGAGAAAATAAATATTTTCTAATCATCTAAAATGAATTATTAACAGTTAACTAAACAACTAGTAGTGAACACTTGATATCTACAAGTATGCTCATTTATATTAATTTAAACAGCATTAATGTTTACTATAAGCCTTCGGTTGTACCATAAGGATAGTAAACAATATTAATACGGTGTTATAAAAACTAAAGTGAACAACAGTTGAATGCAGTTATATGCCAATGAGCATACTACACACTTATATTGATCGGTTACTGGATAACAACTAATGTCTTAGTGTCAACGTCGCCTCCTAGCTTAGTGACGATATTGCAAATATCATCGATATGATTCGGTCAGTACTTAGGACTAGACAAAATGAAACTGGCTGCTCTTCAGTGGGCAGTCAATGGATCTAATACAATCCTAGAGGAGGTGAGTCGCAGCTCAAATAGTTCAGTGGTAAAGTTGCTAATTGCAGCATTGTGGCATGGTCTCGAACCTCAGGATGAACATCAGTTCCCTTAAGGTTTCAGACACACTTTTCTGACGAGTGTCAACAAGCCCGAAACCTAAGTTCAGAGTTTCCTGCTAATCGCCTCCAACCAACTGACATACTACACGCTTAAATAAAATAACTTTCGTTACAAGAATATATCATTCCCTAAAATACCACATATACTGACTCAAATATATTCAACAAAGATATCTAATCATCTGAAAATAGTAACCAAAGAGCTCATAGTGTAGTGGACGTTGCTGATCAGAATGGATATAAGTAGTATGTGTTGAGACGGCAGCAGAAATCATAGGCAATCACCAGCAATGGGTAAGGATTCTGCAAAGAGGGACGCAAGAGACAATGCGGGTGTATGAAGAGCAAATCAAGAGAGAAGTAGAACAGGAAATGAAGCACAGTATGTAAATGACTGTCTTAGTGCAAGGTGTACTATATTTAACGACCACTGTACCACTTGTTAACAATAAACATTCTTTCCTTCGTCTCTGTCTTCTCGTTTCCTTTCAATAGAACTTCATTTGGTTATCCTAGTAATGCAACTTCGCAGGAAATGAGTTACAGAGAAGAAACATCAATGGTAATTTAAAGCAACTGGTCCCTTTTATAAATTTAAACAGCGTAATAAGAAGACAAAGATTATCTGAAACATGTGATATATTAGCACTATACATTTCGAACAATCTGATCACACATGGACTTGTCGAACTATTTATGTGAAAATTTACGAAAAATGTCAATGAAGTTAATAGGAAACATAGGAATAGGAAGGGAGAGAAAAAGAAAAAAAACCTTACTCTTGATATGGAAATTAAAATCAATACTACCAAGGTATGTTCAACATGAGTACGAATTGTTTTTGTATACATAAAGAGGGTTTAAATGTATGGATGGCAAGAGCTTCAATAAGTTTAAGCACTCGGCTCTGACCATTTTTATGTAGTACTTTAAAGGCTGTTTTCATGTCTAGCCTATGGTTAGTTTCTAGTATATGTTTAGCGATGGACAAAGATGGATGGATGTTTGTCACCTGCACTTATCAGGTGTGTTGAGGTCATTTGTTTTTGCAGCCACTTGGATACATGTTCAACCTTCCTTAACTGCATATCACAATTACTCCTCCCTATATGTGTGTCCACATATACATGTAAATTGATAAACACAGTGGGATGTTGTGTAATCGTTGATTTGTGGTTTTGATTTGTGCTGTAACATGGACTTGGTCTTCTCCACAATGATGACCTTGGCTGCATAATACGTTTTACAGATGGCCGATCTAAGTTTTCTCCTCACAACAAAGCTACGTGAATCACCTCTAAATGGTAGCGAGATGTAGACATTTGTCTTAGCAACGGAACACTGTGTACTTTTCGATTGTACATAACTTTTGCACCTGTCGATAAATCTCAACAGGATAAACCGAATCTGCACCGATGACACCAGGGAGGAAGAAACCAATTTACTGATGACAACACTGACACAGAATGGATACACGTTGAGATTTATCGACAGGTGCAAAAGTTATGTCATATAAAGCTGGTCAATTTTTGTAGTATTGTCATCATTAAATCGAGGGAAAAGACATAACAAAAGCTGTCAAAATCTCGTAATAATGAAACCCATACTGTCTCATTCCCAATTAATACAGATAAATATGTGACTAATTTATTCCTATGTTTAACTTTCGATGTATGAGAAGGAAATCTTTTCCTTTGGATTCCATTTTTCGGTCCCACACAGAAAAGTTTCGAATTTCCTAATTCATACCCAATTCGAAAGTCTTTATGATCCAGTTATTTCCCCTTGTTCCAACCTCCTCAGATAATCAGAGCTGGTTGAAAGCTAAACGAGTAGGTAGTACCCATCATTTCGATAGTTCAGGCTCAATACAAAGAAGCATTCCAACTTCACATTTCAAAGCCTTAAAAGAACTTCAAAGATGTAATCAAAAGCTTAGGTATGATAGTGATGAGCAAATATGATTACGAAAATAAGATGATGTCCATCCTCAATGACAAAATTATATTTATGGATGATGTTCCGTCGGATGACCTTAGGAAATTATAATGTAAGGTAACATCTAATCTAGTAAAACTATTGAACATAGATGTTATCAGCAAGGAAGAGTTCACTTCCCTCAACCCTATGGAGTCCGAGTTACCTAATCTGTATGCATTATCTGAAATTCATAAAACTATCATCCTTTGGATCCTATAAGGTTCATAAGTTGGCGAAACGGTTAGCGAAAACTTTAATTCCTATTCGAAATGATGTCTGTAAGTTTTCTTTGAAAGATACTTTTGAACTTGTTCATTATCGTAGTGATATTGTTGTCAAAAACAAGTTGTATTCCATTAATGCTAACTCATTATTTACCAACGTGCAGCTAATTAAAACCATTGACACTCTCTTTGTTCATATATCTCCTAGTAGTTTATCTTTTCCTATCCCTCCAACGTTTTTGAAGGAGCTGCTATTATTGTGTACTGATAAAGTTCATTTCACATTTGAAGGGGAACATTTTCAACAGACAGATAGCGTGGCAATGGGAAGTCCCCCAGGACCATTGCTAGTTGATATTTACACGTCATGCAATAAAGGCTTCGCTGGTAACCTCATCGGTAAAGATAATGATTTCATTGTGATATATGACATGGAGATGCTACATGTTTGCTAAAACGACTTGACACTGTACAAAGCAATATGCGCTTAACATATGAAGAAGAGAAAGAAAACCGTTTACCGTTCTTGGATTAACTTCTGAGTCGTAGGCAAGAATGTTCAATAAAACGGTCGTTATACAGCAAACCTGCTTGTACAGGTCAGTATTTAAGTTTCCATAGCTTTTGTCAAGTCAATACATGCGAGGTTTCGTAATATACCTAATCAAAAGGATCCAGAGTATCTATACGGAAAACTCGATGGATGATGATTTCAAAATACGAACCGAAACATTAGCGGAAAATGGATATCCACTGAAATTCATAAGCCGTTGAAACCCTATCTAGTCTCGGAAAGTGCATTTCTATCGCGCTACCATACATTTAGGAATCCTACGTTGTAATCATAAAACGAAGCCTAAGGTCCCCCGTTAGCAAAACACACTAAGCAGGTAGGCTTATTATAGTTGAGATAACCAAATAATACTACTAATAATATATCTTATAATACTAAGTTACCGAGGATTTTGCAAGTAATAACATGAATATATTTGGCAACACTAAAGAGAGAAAAAAGGTGAGTAGAAAGTCATACATGGGTTTATTCCAATTAGGTTACAGAAAAAAGACATACTAGATATACGTCCGTGGAATAAGGTGGATTTTCATACAACCACTTCATGGGTTCAGCTAGTGATACATGCAACCATCGGCCTCTTACGAGATTGCTAATTTCTCAGTCTATTACAGAGAAAGTTTGATAGATTTTAATGAGACATACCATGTTATCCAGTCTTTGAACTGAAGATCTTCACTTCTTTCTTTTAATATGTCAACATATTCAGTTTCTTGAATGAATATCAGTCGACCACATCTTATATCTTAGTATCGTCAACCAATTATGGTCAGTTTAGACCGTTTCGAAAATACTTTCATTGATGCAAATCACAGATCTGACCAAAACACGGTCTATTCACTGCTTCCACAGCTTATGATGATACAAAGAAACCTATAATCAAATATCGACAACATCATCTTGTGATCTCTTTGAACACTATATTAAAAAGCTGAAGGACAGGGAAATAAAGCGCTGAAACCACTAAACATTCAACTTTCGACGAACTATCAAGTACCTCCAAGGTGATAACATAGGCGATAAATTTTATAAAATGATGGACTGAGACTATTATTCCACAACACATGATAATACCTCTTCCTAGATGGGTAAAGTGATTAGTGTGCTAATCAACTACTTCACTCATAACCGTCGAGTTAGCTGTAAAAGTAGACTGATCCTGAAATATCTTTAAAAATTTATTCAAACTATAACTTTAGCCATAAATCCTGAAGCGTCATTCTCCATAATTTCCACCAGATAACATTTAAACATAACTCGGGTAGAACCGAAAACAGAGACGATGTACTATTCAAAAAAGACTTACAAAATAAGTGAATTATTTAACGAGATATGCTTCTAATAGTCAATAGTCGATCTGATAAACGGTTGTAATAACTTCTAAATGGTTGAGGTTACTACAGGGAATTCTAGCAAACTCGTTAACAGCGTGAAATACTTTCTCAATGTGAGATATTTTCAACAACCAAGTCAAATATAACTCTTGGATAGAATATGAATATGGCTAAATAAAATCGCTATAAAATATGTCCATATCAAAGAATCTGATATAACATGAAGAATTCATTGAAATAATCTCTATCAATAAGTTCGAACCCCTTCATATTATCACAATCTCACCGGAAAAGTAATATTATAATCCCTAACATATTATATGCAGAGGAGACATCATGCTCAAATGAACACTCAAGAACAGAAAACATTTAAAAGGCTGAAAAATAGGAAAAACATCGTTATACTTCCAGCAGACAAAGGACGCACTATAGTAGTCATGGTCAAAGAAGACTATATCAAGAAGGCAGAGGAATTACTCAAAGACAAAAATGTGCATCAACCATTTGAAACCGACCCTATCCAAAAGTTCGACAACCAGATCAATAAAACCTTGGACAAACTCTTCAAAGCAGAAGAACTAACAAGGCAAGACAAATGGAGAATGAAATCGAATGGACCTGTTCCTTCCTCGATTCTACATGACCAATAGTCTCACTTCCAGGAACTCCAACATACAACATATCAAGAGAACTTTCGAGAAAACTGAAACACCTCGTTCAATCATGCGGACACTCCATCAAGTCACCAACGGAATTCTTATAACCTAGGAAGTCCGTAAACAAACAAGACTACATTATGAGGTACATGTTCCGTACAGTAAACTAAAGTGAACGAGTTCTATAAAGGAAGTTAAAAACACAAGTGAGAGACACAGTAATGAGTCCCTTCAGAGATGACATTCAAAATATAAGAAACTGAAACTCAGTAATAGGCAAGTTAGCATTGTTTGAAACAAGACTCTAAATACTCAAGAACAACAAAAATCTACTGATTATATTCACAAAAAGTGAGATGTATTTTAAGAAATATCTAATACTTCATACAACTGTTAATCTTCATACCTAAATTCTCCAGAAAGATCACATCTTTCAATAATATATGAGACTCATACATGCAGTACACTAGGAGAATGAAAAAAATGACCACTTGGCAGCTTAATTGAACAGGTTTCATAATCTTTGTAAATGTTCACATACACGATTGGGTAAGCCAAGTCTATCTGTAATTGGGATAGTCAATACTGCCATTCTCTGTAACAGAGAATAAGGGACAAATAAATGAAGATCAGCGAAATAATATAAGCACTATGAACATGATGATTACCATCACAAACAGAAGGTCAAAATAGATCACATTCTGTTTAGTATACTAAGCAGAACTAGAAATCTGTTACCTGTTTTAGTGCTTCTGAATAAAAACAGCAAATATATGAGGAGCCAACAGATAAACATTAATGTGGGACATCGTACAGAAATGTAAAAGTAGTCCCACTTTTGAATAACATAAAGAAGTTAATTGAATTTTGACGGGTTTGTGGGGATTCAGACATATTTCCAGTTGGTATTCATCCTAGACTGATATCAGTTGGAGGAACAATGAAAACCTGGGAGGACTGGACAGCCGTTTCGTCCTAGTATGGGTCGCGCTATGTCGTGAACTGACAGAAGTTAGAAATATGGACCATTGGATTCCGACCCAGTGGCCAGCTCAATGGTAACGCGCTGGCCGCGGAACCTGAAGGTGGCGAGGTAGTGGGTGTGCACTGTTGAAGAGTCCCATACTAGGAACGAGACAGCTGGCCAGTGTTCCCAGGTTTCCATTGTTCCTCCAACTGATGTAAGTCTACGATGAATACCAACTTGAAACAAAGAAGTTAGTTGAAAAATACTCGTATTAAAGTATAAAAAGTGTATGGAGGAAACGCAATAAATGCAGGTTATTGTGACGTTAGAACTTTCGAAGATTATGACCACTTTTGAACCATACCCCAACACCAGTTCGAAGCCACTATTTCCTAGCATTTCAAGGAACCAAGTCAGGTAATATAAATAGCTTCGGTTAGGCGAAACTTCATGGACTAGTATCAAAACTTGGTCTGACAGCACCTCAGTTTGCTCGAACCTGATTCTACTTCGTCTAACATTACTTGTCAAGAAAAAGATGGCTTGATATGCACAACCCACGCTTAAACCACTTTTTAATAGATCCAGGTTCAAAACGTTGTCGATTGATTTGCATAGTACTCAACGCCTAACGTCAAAATTGTTGTTTTCATAACTCCGTCAAAACACAGGATACAGGAATACCTAGATCAACTGCACGTAACAACAGTAGTCTTATCCTGAAAATGAAGTTGCCTAAACTGGTATATCATTATGAAATTCAAAGCGAGGCCAGGGTGACATGGAGGAGATCATGTGAGGAAGAAATCAAAGCCTATGGGTAGCCGTGGAGGCAGGTTTAAAAGACTGCAGAGAAAAGAGTGCAATGGAGACGTGCTACTGAAGCCCTTGTCCCACCAGGAACCCAAAGGATAAGTAATAATAATAATAATAATAATGATAATAATAATAAATTACGAAGTTTATGCTAGAAAACGTGAATTCAGAGACCCTCAATAGGTTCAATTTGAGTCAATACTTCAAGTAAAGTCTTACCTAAACCAATGCTATGTGAATCAGTAGACTGAAATGGTAGTTTTTCACGATAAATTTCTTTGTATTGCTGGAAGTTAACAGTAGAATCCAAATCAATATCTAGAACACAAATTTCATATCCTGGTTTATGAGATGTATCAGTTACACTAGATAATAATAGAAGACATGATTGATGTCTTGAAATACCTCGAATGACAATACCATTCATATTGACTTGATAAACAATTTCAACATAACGACTTGGCAAACCAATACGAACTTCAGATGATGCTAAACTTTGAGATGATTGGTGTGTGAATGAAGAATGACTAGAGTGTAATGAATCATCAGGATTAGGATTTCGTTCTAAAATTTGGCAAATTCGAATCGATTGCCCTCGAGCGATTAAAAAACAATTATCTGTACACCAACAGAGACTACAAACAGTAGGTAAACCGGGTGACCTGTGAAAACAAACAAATAGGAAATAAATTTCAAATTACTCAGCGAATTTAACTATTATATATATATATATATATATATATATATATATATATATATATATATATATATATATATATGTCTGTTATAAGAACCTATCTAAACTTCTATTTACCAGTAGAAAATCGTATCCCTGTTATCCTATCAGTAGAGACCGTCCGTAAACTTTAGTAATAAGATACAACTCTATATGTTTGTACGAACTGATTTATATGTGAGGACACATTCTACGCTGAAATCGAGAAGTATAAGCAGCTTACAAGTGAACTTATGGAGTTTATTCAATAATCAACGGAAGTAGTGGGTAACAAAAGCCAACAAGACAGAGGAAACGAGGATGACAGGTAATAGAAGGTATCATAAAAACAATGGTATAGAAAAGTTTACCGTTTAGGAGACAGTGTAAAACATAGCACATGTAACATGTCAGTGGTCCATTCTCAGAGAATAACAAACAGGATAATTACAGAAAACTATGAGAAGGACAAACTGATTTTTAGTCACTCTTCAGTTTGGACAAATACAGAAGTAGGGTGTCTTCGACTTGTGCTAGAGGTGAGACCAATATATCATAAAACGTCTTCACGTAGTATCGAAGGATCTACATAGAAGCTTGTATGCCAACAGAAGACGATCGATTCTATCCAAAAGCGAATCAATAACAGGAAATAACAAGTTCTTGTATCAAACCGTACGCGTTGAACAAGAAGTTAGTTATTAGCCTAATGAATAACGTTTTAGCATGCTGCATTTGAAACTCAGTGGATAAACCATGACTCATAAGGTTACAGGTACGTCCAATTGATGAGTTCTAAACAGCCATCAATAAGCAAATTATATCACGAGACTATTGAAAATGATTTCAAAGAAAGAGAATACAAATTCGACGTAGCAGCAAATTTCAGAAGACCAAACTGACTTAAAGATTGGTGATGGATGCATAGACCGGAACTTTGCTAACCATTAAATTATGCAACAAAGAGACTGAAGAGATAAGCATTAACTACGACTCCATCAACAGATTGTTTTTGTCAGTATTTCACTATGAAGTTCTATAAAGTAGATGATCAGGCGATAAACTTACTGGTAGAATGACCTTGATCGTATAACATGGTGAACTGCCCTCTTAGTTAGTTACATGTGACAGTTTTTGTCAAGGATCTCTTTTCCACTCGTACTTAGATTTATCATTTAAGTAGTTTTAAGGACATCACTTTCTTCCTTTGCTTTGACGAGAGATTTTATTACCGGTCACTCCATATGCTCAAACACCAGAGTCTAGGTAAACAAAAACTCTAATGACTTGCAGTTTTTCAGGCATATTAAATGATAACAAGCGAACATGTGTGATGTAGTTCTCGTCTCTAAAGTGTGACAACTTGCCTCAGCATTAGTTTGTATTATTGCTAATAACCATAAAGATGAAAATTCCGTCGGCTGGAGATGGGTACTAGCCCACGATTATTTACGGTATGGAAAGAGGGTTAAACTGCCTGTCTTATTGTGTAAACTGTACAGCAAAGAAAATTTCTGAGTACCTGTTATTATTATGAGTATTCTTTTAAGAAATTATTCCCTATCCTTCCCTATACACACATGAGCCAAGTCTATAAAATGGGTCAGTTTCATTTGCAGCACCACTTATATGTGGTGAAATCATTCTAGTAAATGATGTAGAGGTCAGATGTAGAGAAACAAGTAATAGAAATCAATCAATTAGTGAAGTTGCGAACTTCAACCAGTTAATGCGTCAACAAAAGACAATTCGGTGAAGAGAATTTTTTCTTGATTAATCGCACTTCTAGTCACAATAAAAATACATGTCCATCACTGACTAGTAGATCGATACAAGGTAGAGAATATACCAATTTTCAAAGTTGAGTTGCACTAGACAAGAAGAGATATTTAATTGATTCCCTATGGACAAGAATTAGGAAATTTGTATAGATGATACAGTAAATGAGAAGCTGAAAGTACTTCGAAAATTGCTCATCGAGGACAGTTATCCTTCAAGATTGACTGTAAGCAATATGAAGCCTAGACAAAGCCAAGAAGGAGCCCCTCCAACTCCTAAGACGCCATTTATGAATATTGAATTTAAGGGAGATACAATGGTGGAGATACTTATGAATCGGTTATATAAAGCCCTGAAGAAGACTTTCTTTTCCGCCCAACTTCGGATTGTTTTCTCCAGCCAAAAAATGATTCGAGTGTGTATAGGATAAATTATCTATTTGGATCACCTCTGTAAGTGTTCACTAATTCGACTGCTCTTGTGGAGCTGGTTACATAGGCCATACAAAGTGTGTTCTATCCAAACACATCTCCGGAAACTATCTTGTAGGGCTGTCTAGAGGATAGTGTGAAAAGACTAACAGCTAGATTCCTGAGCATCTGGTTAACTTTGGAAACTCTGCTCCACCAGGATCTTTCTTCAAAGTTATTCATAATATCATATCGAACATTTCTAAGGGAGTGCAGGTTTGCCACCTGAACACCGCAGAAGCCTTGGAAATTCACCAGCTCAAGCCTGGTCTGTGCGTACTAAAAAAGTATGTCTAATCTCTAATTTGACCTCGATTAAAATCTCTTTAAGACTCTGCTAACATTTTTTGGTGGCCTTGCATCGATCCACTAGTCAGTGATGGACATGTATTTTTGTTGTGACTAGAAGTGCGAATGTACGTATAGCCTCTAAGAATTACTAGTCAAGAAAAAATTCTCTTCGCTTAATTGTCTTTCGTTAGTTTTCATGATTTCATGGGACTGTTTCGATGATTTATGCTTTTCCAATGCAAAACCACCATCCATCTCAACACGAAGGATGAGATGAAGTAGCGGTAAGTTAAGAGAAACCCTCGAATGATAAGATCTTAAATGACATGAAAGATGGAAACTATTACCGTTAATATGAGCACTGAAGAATTGCTGGTTGAAGTTGATGACACAAACAAAACTAATGTTTAGCGACTTTAAACTTAATAACTAAGAATTTAATTACAACAGTGACATAAGGTGCTCTGACGAAAATCTTTTTGAACAGTGCCCAGGAGAGTCAGCATATTTAAGACATATCAGTTCATCCAAGTTTAGAATAGAATTAATACATCACTACAAAATGGCAGATCACTGTGGTACACAAATTAACTTTCTGGTTGCAAAAAGCAAGCGATTGATTTTTAGTCTTATGACCATAAAGTTAGGGCTGAAGGCTATCTGTGACATTTCTAAAAATTTCATTGATGTAAACAAGTTACATTATCATGCTAATTTGGAAGATAATATTAAGAGTTTGATTGAAAAATGTCCCAAAACTTTTGTAGTAAAGGCAGAAAAATTCGTTTATGCATTGGTAGTGATGCAGTTTTCACAAAAGGATGCATAACTCCTCAATGAGTGAAACAACTTGTTCGAAATAACTGCGGGGAACACTGCACTGGTAAACCATATTTAGGTGCGCCCTAGCCCGTACATCTAAGGATTTAGTCAAGAAATTGGGAAATGAAGAGGTCTCAGGAAGTGCGTTCAAAGCATAAACTGCATCCACGTAAATGCACAAAGTTTGCCGAATAAACTCGATGAACTACAGAAACTAAGTAAGGACACTTATTATTATCATCTTGTAGGTGTTACTAAAACATGGGTTTCTCTTTAAACGTCAGATAAGGAGCTGACTGTTGTCAACACCACGCTGTTTCGCAAAGACAGAGGAGCTGGTTAACGAGGTGGAGGTAGTGTTCTACGTTAGCTCTTCTTTTACAGCTCACCAAACCCACATTCAAGAATTGGACTATCCTTGAGGCGTCTATCTAATGCTCTGTAAAACTATCCAAGACAACTAAGTGCTTACTGGGGCTAAACAATAGAAAGCCATTAGCTGATATTCAGTATGAAGACCGACTGTTTGGGGCGATCAGTTGCTATCTTAAACTGGGACAGACACATTCTGATTCTAGGAGATTATAACTTATTTAGGTTACGTTTAACTGGAGTGAAGATTCCACTGAAACTCAATTCTTCAGTCAGGTTGGAGAATTGGGACTTACGGAAAATGTAAGATCAGAAGTGCGATAGGGAGAAATTCAAAGCCTATTCCGTTCAGACTGCATCTTCACAAATGAAGAATTCTTAATAGATAATCTGGTATGAATCTTTAAGGGGTGTTCATATCTTGCTATGGATGGTCAGCTTCCCAATCTGTTTATTCCAGTACTATCCTAAGAGCAGGAGTGCTTAGTCACCTACAGTTTCAATGGTACTCTTTGCTAGGTACTTGCCTCTCCTTTGGGCGAGAGTGGTCACGTTGTTAACGGCTTTTAGTATGTTTGCAAAACCAAACTAATACAGCCTAGCAACGAGTACTGTTGAAACTATAGGCGACTGAACACTCCAGCTCTTAGGATAGTACTGGAATAGACAGATTAGGAAGCCGACTATCCATAGCAAGATATGAACACCATTTAAAGATTCAAACTTGAAAAAATCACGTATGCCATCAAACAGCCTGTTCCACTTTCAACGCTAAAGTGCTTCAAGTCACCTAGGGTGATAAGCAACTCGACTCGCAAACTACTTAGGCTAAAAAGACACAACTTGGACCGAGCATAAAAAGGAATGGTAACAAATACTCATACAAACTATTTAAACAAGAAACAAATCCATGAAGGCAATGAGAGCCGATTGGCAACGCCATCAAGCTAAGTTCACACACATATTTGTTTCGAATCCGAGAAGTCTGTTCAGCTAAACTACATCGTCCCAATAGGCTAAAGCAGGAGTCTCTCAACTATTAGAGCCCAATGAGCCAACTGGTAGTGACACTGAAATCGCTCAACTCCCAACCGATCAGTATTTACAAATCTTTTCATCATCGACCATCTACTCGAGAGTTTACAAATATCCCACTAACGAAGTAAAACTCTCGGTCGTTGACCTAAGCGTTGAGCCTGTACAGTGCAAACTGCTACTTTTCATAAAAGATATCTCTCCAAGACCCGGGGAAAATCTACGCAGCATTATTGCGAGGAGCAGCAATCTTGACCGATTTCTTCAGTAAGTTGTTTAAGGATTCTATAAGTTAAGCGAAGGTGACCAATCTTTGGAAGTTAAGTCATAACACGCCATTCTTTAAAGGAAGTCAACAAACCAACTAGAATAATTCGAGAGTAGTGACCCCATTTACTTTCTGAAGTAATAGAGTCGTTACTTTATGATGTACCTTGTGACGATTAACTTTTTTACGCCCCAGTAACACGGACTTAGAAAGGGTACTCTCTCTTGCACTACTAACTTGCTCACCGCAGTAGATACACGGGCTAGTACTGTAAACCGTCAAGGTAGAATCGATATTATTTATCTACGCTTTAAAAAAGCCTTAGACTGTACAATCACGGTTGCCTTACTGATAAACTAAGGTTAATCGGGATGTCATGCATATTAGTCTCAACCGTATGGAACTGAAAGCACCACAAGTGAGGGATTTCAGTGATCCAGTCCCTCAAGACGTAAATCCAATGCCTACTGTGACAGAAACACATTTCGTGGGAACTTGGTGCAATTAACTCAGACGATTTCTTGGACAATGCGACCGCAACTTCATACGACCTGGTTTTTAGGACTACTCTCCCCCCTGTCTGAAGAAGGACAAATTCAACGGAGAACGTATCCAGAGGCGGTCGGCCAAATCCGTCTGAGGACTCACGTCTTAGACATACGAGGAATGATTGGTAGCGTTTGATTTATATCCTCTGGAATAAAGAAGATTAGGAGGGGATTTGATTGTGGTTTACAATATCTTAAACATACTTGGACACCCACTCCGTCATTTACCTAATCCAAGTTGCAACTCCAGTGTTTAAGGGCACACATAGCATGTTAGATACCAGATGCAACTTCTACTCCCTAGAGTTATTAAATCTTGGAACGTACTACTTGTAGAAGTAGTCCAAGCTATTTCACCTGAATCCTTCAAACGCTACCTTGACACTTACTTATGATGTAGTTGGAAACTCACGCAAAACTAACTTGATCTTCCTAATTTTTAGCCATCGTCTTCTCCCTCTTTATTGCACACAGGTTAACAACCAAAGGAATCTGCGATCCACTGCCTCGATACACGAAAGTCAATTAAGCGGAAACTTCTTTTACTCCATTATCAACCGTTCGACTAAATGTGAATGAAGTGAGAGATGATGGTACTAACCAACCAATTAGTGCTTTCTCTTGAAGAATCCCAGGAGAAACCAAGCGTAACAAAGACGAAACACAAAGGATTTGTGATGATTCCAGGATTACATTTAATCCTAAATTACATAAAAGTAAGTAATTTGTTACAAATGAAGAATTGTACAAACTATTATCTAGCAAAGAAATCTTGTGAAACATATTTTACATTTCAGTCCTACTGGGAATGGCATATGTCCTATTTTAAAGAACAATAACAATGAACTAGTATTTGCATTGAACCTTTATTCGAAGCCATACACTCCAGTTAGTTCAGGAAGAAAACGAATCGTAATCGCAATACTATATTCACATAATTTAGACCATCGATTAATGATTATTATTATTTGCCTTTGGGTTCCTAGCGGAACATATGGCTTCAGTAGCATATCTCCAACGAGCTCTATTCTCTGAAATCTTTTGAACCTGGCTCCACGACAGCCCACAAGCTTTCATTTCCTCCTCGCAAGATCTCCTCTACGTCACCCTCGGCTCAGACGCCCAACTCGTCACTTCCCATCTGGTTTCTACTCGACGGCCTGGCTTGGTGCGTGATGTCCCCAATCGGCCTTCTCAGTGTATGCCCAATCCATCTCCACTTCCTTCCAGTGCATATTCGTTCAGCGATAGGTTCTTGCTTCGTTGGTTCTTTGTCAGCCAGCTAGAGTTCCTTGTTGCTTATTGTTTCTGACCATCTCATCTGATCTTTAGTAACGAGCCATCATAGGCAGTTGTTGATGAATGTCTGTAGTTTATTGGAAATCCCTTTCGTAACGCGCAAAGTCTCTGAGCCATACAGAAGCACTGATTTGACGTTGGTGTTGAAAATCCGGATCTTGTTCCACATGCTGAGTTGAGTGCAGAAGATCTCCACACTGGTTTCAGGCTAATGAACGCCTGTCTTGCTTTTCCGATCCTGGCTGGCTTTGACGTTCTCGTCTGTGCCTCCACCGCCTGTAGTTGAAACAGTGCTGCCTAGATAGGTGAAGGAGGTTACTTCCTTTAAGTTTCTCCCATTGATGGTGACTGGAGTTTGTTGTTGTTGTTGGAGTTGTTGGTGCGGTATCTTCATCACCTCTGTCTTCTCTATATTCACCTGAAGTCCTGTCTTCGCTGCCCTGCCTCTTTTGTCAACTTGTTAGTTTTCGCCTGCAGATCTTCAAGTTTGTGTGACATTAGACATAAGTCATTGGCGAAATCCAAATCTTCTAGGTTCTTTTCCGCGGTCCAGCGTATATGTTAATTCAAAATAACTAATCTTAATCACTGTATTGTCAGCAAAAAAAATGACCGATTCAAATGTCAAATAACCGCTACACAAGGCTATCAAACACTAGTTGACTTCTCAGTAGTAAACTTCTTTCTTCAAATAACATTTTCAATCAACGACCTGACCAACAAAAGTCAGTTGGGATACCAAGAATTGCAATTGTTAGAGAGGCGTTCGATGCCTCTAAAATTAAAATAATGCAAGCCTCTCGGTGTTACTGGGATGTTTTTTTCCTCACACTGCATGATCTGTGCAACGAATACTTCATAAAATGCACGTAACTGACTAACAACACAGTAACATTCATCGAAACTTTGTGTGACAATGACTTTATAACATTCCTAGCCTACCATCCTTTCGAATAACGTCTTTAATTTGTTGACAAAAATCAGTTATCATTCTTGAAACGTGGTCCACTTAATGTCAAATACTGGTCAAAGTTGTTAGTGCAATAGGCTAAGTGAACTATTGGAATACATCCATATTAGTGGACAGTGTTCACAAAAATTATTGACCTGGATACTAACCTCCAGAGTATATTATCTCTGTATTTTGTCGCTCAGATGAGTTGGAACAAGTGTCAAAGGTTTAAGAGAGCTTAGTTTTTCTATCATAACTTCAAAATGTGACAACTAGGTTTTGTATTTTTTGCATATTCAATAGGGCATTGAATCGACCTGCTTCAGGAAGACAAAACCTATAACCTGGATTAATAATTCAAGATCGTTAAAAACTCACTCCAAGACTGAATAGTTTGAGAAAACTCAAGAAAGGAAATGAGCAATTGGTTTGCTTTTTGCTGATGGTCATGCACAAAGTTTAACTGCAACTATGACGAAACCAGGAGTCCCCCCCCCCCAAATTCCTACTGGATTTTTACCCAGGGTGAATAGCAACACCTTCGGAAATGCTAATGTGAATTCCTGATGGTTATCACAGACACAGTAAGCTCGGTAAGTTATCACACTGGTTTGCATACTTTGAACTATCATAGAGAAAATCAAGACAAAAACAGAAGGCAGTACCATGATGAACCAATATCCGTCTTTGAATCAGAAAAAAATTATGTGCATTAACAGATAGTCATATTCACATTCTGATCAATACCTATGAGCTCGATTTATCTTTTATCGTAAGTGGCAGCTTTGACCAACGATCTGAGACGCAATTAATGATGATTATGTTTCAGTGTGACATTAATTCCAAACCTCTTTAACCATAACTAGTAAAGACAGAGAGACAAAATAAACGTACAACCTCGTACAGAAGTGCATCGTTTCAAGTTGCCAAACTTCACAGTAGCATGCAAATAACAAGTGGGTAGAAAAAGATTGATATCAAAGTAAGAATTTGAAAATAAGTCTTATAGAAAACGTTCAAGCTTTAGAAGACGTTAAACAGTGTATATAGTTGCACCGTTGTTACCAATTTCCAACCATGTCACTGAGAGTCCAAAACCACTGATTTCTATCGTCTCGGCGACCCCAACCCGATAGACTACACCTCCCTCCCTACACGGCTCAGACCAACGTCAGACTTCACATATTGATCCTACTTCTTGGTCAGGCCACTCTGAGCATTCTATAACTAGCAAAGCATTTTAGACTCAACTAAAACGCGCCTAGACCACTTCAAAAGATTCGGTTTGATTGATTTTTCGATATTTTTCATCACAATTTGACATCAGCTGGAGAAGTATTGGAAACCTGCGAGCATTGGGTGTCTGTTTTGTTCTAGACCGGGACTGTTGAGCAGTGGACACCCACAACTATAAAGTCTTGTAGTGAGCATATTATCATCTAGTCTGGGCTCAATGGGCTATACCTTCCAACCTCTGTCAATTCACGACATAGTATAACCAACATCTAATGTCATTTGTGAGAATCTATCCACATTCAACTTGATTGATTCCACAGGTAAAACAAACTTTTTTTGCTTTTCTCTTTGCCATTTAACCAACTAAATCTCTCTAGGATGAACTGATGTTAGATTGTAACACTGATGGAACTTAGTGTAGTGAAGTAATCATCTCGTATTGGTAAAAATTCATAAACAGCGCTGAGTAAATTATCATACTATGTCTTTTATCTTCCAAAAAGAGATGCGGACTAAAAACTTACTCTATGTCTTGACTGGAGTACTGTATAAAAGTGATTGGACGATGATCTCGTGTATCGTAAACGCAAATTCTCTAATACAAATTTAAAAAACATCATAATAGCTTCAGATGATAAAGTCAAGAAAAGATTACAAGAGTCACATTAATGCAAAGAAAAGGGCAATTTAGTTGTGAATAACTGCATAACAATAATAATTATAATGACAAATGATTTGTTTCTGTAACTATGAGCAAATTTTTGTACTGGTCTAGGAACCACGAGTACTATGAGAGGTAGCCATACTAACTGGTTAACCAAGCCCTAGCAGGCGTGTGGAGTGGAAATCAAGCTCATGATCAACCGCTTTTTAACGTGATAAAATAATCATCTCACAAAATTATTTTATTTTGATGGGAAACCTTTTACTATACAGTTAAAAGCAAATGAGCTGCATCTAAACGAATAATATCTACGGAGAAGGTTGCAAGTATTTAGAATGAAACTCACTGGACATGGCATATAGTCATACGAAGACAAGGTTGTCTACTACCACAAATCATCTTCCTCATCGTGCTCGACTCCATCATGCAACAAATCCTGAGGACCAACAACATGCGCATACACTGTTTCACCGATGAAAACACCCTACAACATTCGCATTTCACCATCCATGATCATTTATGTCTAGTGTCTCCTCGCATAAACTCGAAGATCTACAAGCAAAAACCAACAACTTGACACAAGAGGTGAGGCAGAGAAAACCACACTTCAAATAAACTTAGGGAAGACACAGGTGATGAAGATACCCAACCAATAACAACAACAATAGTAAAAACAAGCACCAATCACCATCAATGGAAGAAATCTTCTCTCTCACCTACCTAGGTAGGGTAGCATCGTCTCAACTACACGCAGCACAGGCACACATGACGATGTCAAAGCCAGGATTGCAAAGACAGAAAGACGGGCCTTCCTGCATCAATCTGAAATAATCAGTGTGCAGATCTACTCCACTCCAATCAGCATACAGAGCAAGATCAGGATTTCCAACACTAATTCAGTCAAGTCAGTGCTTCTATCTGATGGTTGAGAGACTCGGTGTGTTACGAAAATCACTTTCAACAAACTACAGACATTCATCAACAACTGCCTGCGCTCGTTGCTGAAGATCAGATGGCCAGAATAATAAGAATAAGCAAGAAGGAACTCTAGCTGTCTGGCTGACTGACTGGCAACGAACCAACCAACAACCCATCACCCAACAAATATGCACAAGAAAATGGAGATCGATTGGATTCGACATACACTGAGAAAACCATTTGGGGACATCACCCGCCAAGCCCTCGAGTGAAAGCCAAATGGGAAACGACGAGTTGGGCGTCCGCGACGAAGGCGGCATGGAGGAGATAGTGTGAGGAAGAAATGAAAGCCTATGTGGAATCGTGGAGGCAGGTTCAAAAGATTTCAGAGAACAGAGCTCATTGGAGACGTGCTATTGAAGCCCTATGTTCCACTAGGAACCCAAGGGAAAAATAATAAAAAATAACCTTAATGCAATTGAGGGATTACATTTTCACAATTAAACTCCCTTCCACTGACATATAATATCCTAGAATAACCACTGATTTCCTTGCATCATCAGTAAATTGCAGTAGATCTGGAAGCGTGGCTAAATGGAGGTATGCATTGCGTCATTAATGGCAAATTTCATAGGCCCAAGTCCTCTGCGTTAATGTAAGACACTTGTATATGAACTAGTCACTAGTGCGTAAACAATGTAGCTGTCTAGTTCATAGTGCTTAGAATTGATCGAAGTTGTTATTTAGTTGTTAGCGACTAATTAATGCAACTGATTGAAGTCCTACCATCAAGTTTGCAATATACCCACTAGGCTAAGTGACGTAACGCTGAGATGAATAAAAAACACTATCTGACAAGTGTCAACAAGCAAGAAACGTAGATCCAAGGTTTTCCATCTGGTTAACTCCTAACATCTAACAAGGAAATACTTAAGTGGGATTAGTGCTCTAAATTCACGAGTTATTTGAAGACAATGAAGAAGAGTAGACGATGATTGCATAAATGAAATCTTACTATTGGTATTCAGACACCTGAAAGTTTTACAAAATCACTTATACAGGTCAAGACATGATAAATACAATAATTTTTCTGTAATGTCAGGACACAATGCTTAAAGATGTACATTCGAAAACGTCTATATTATGACTTGAAACAATATCCATTGTTATATTTCACACTTAAAAACAGTACAGATTCAATAAATCATTACAAGTTTCGCACAGCACTTCAAATTTTCGCAGTTTGATAGGGTATAGTAACTAAACCTTTCACAGGAATTCAATCGCTTAAACGTTTTACATGAATTATCCTCATTTCTGACTTTATACACAATGTAAAAATACAAAAAGAAAATTACAATTTAAGACTGGATATTTTTAAAAGCAGCAATGTTTAATTGAATAGGAGAGAATTAGAAAACAAACTTACCTCATCATCAGCCCATAAGATAAATTCATTATGCCAATTGATAGTTCTAACTAGTCCACTAACTTTAGCAAGATCTTCATGTTTTGCTTTGGTAAGTATACCTTTAGAAAGTAGGCGTATCTGAACAGTTATAAAATTTACAAAAAAGGGGGAATGTTTGCATTGATTAAAAAAAAGGTAACGGTCAATAATAGTCATGAAGAAATCTATTCATTTACACTAATCAAAGGAATTAAGAAGGTAAAAACAATTCGATTCCTATGCACGCTTTATACAAAAAAAAAGATTGGGTTTTATATCCTCTTCTTAATAATGATGTATTCTCTTCATCGATTTGGAAAATCGGTTCTCTTCACTGATGAACTAAGAGAAATATATTGTGGAAGACAGCCATATTCTAGCATTTATTCAAGAAGACTCTAAAAGACTTAATGAATGGTCAACATCTGGGAGATCTCATGTTGAATGTATATAAACATGGATAGTGTTTAAGTCATAATTATGAATTCGCATCAGCTACCATTGTTTGCAATTCGCAAGTAAGATACAGTAAAACACTTAACTTTTCAGAGCACACTTAATTTCAAGTGTTCATCGGAAGGAAACCTATAGTCTTCATTAAGATAAATTACTTCAGCGTTTATTTCATGCTGACCTCATGTAAAACATACATCTGAGGAGTATGGCACCTTAGTCTACATCAACTGCAGAAATAAGAACTTAATGAAGATTAAAATCACTCAAAAGAAAAAAAAAGAAACTTATCAGCAGAGGTGCCTAACACTCAGAATAGAGTGAACTTTATGGAAAAAACGTTTGAAAAGAACTTCATTTTCATTCATCGTCTTTCCTTCACAAAGTTATACACTATCATACTCTATAAGGAGTACATGCAGATATATCGTAGTATTATTTAAGTAACAACAATACTACTACTACTGCCAAAAAACCTTTACAAATCTGTATGAGAACCTTTTTATTGTCTATAATTTCGAATTTCAGGGGAAAAAAATTCTCTCATATACGAGATGTCAAAGTTGGGTGAATCAATTCAAATGCCGCATCAACAACTACCTAAGTGATAATGATTTGTCTCATCTTTTAAGCACCTATGGACTTACAGATAAAATATACAAACTCAGTAGAGTGATTTATACAAACTTACTACCTCATGACGTATTAATCTATCCTGAACTACCTACACTTATCACTAACAAAGTAACCTTATGTACTCATTACTCATTAGTCCTTTTAGCAGTATACAGCTAGTATAAAGTAGGATATTTTTTTTGAAATCAGTGGTTGAAGACACTTTTGGTGACATGCATGAAAATCGATCACAATGGCAAGGATATATTCACTTTTTGACGTCTTCTACAGCTTAAATATTTCCACTAACCTTTATCTTCAAACGGATCTCTTACATAACTTTGTCAACTTTGATATCATTCTTCTTCTATCCATCTGCTCCTTGTATACTAATATGGCAAATTGAACTAATGCATTTAAGTATGAGGTTCTACGTGGATTTTGTCATTCATTATTATTTTACAGTCATAACTTTCTATTGGTGGGATTAGTTCGATTCCTTTGTACAGTATCACCTACCCGAAAGCATAAAGAACTATTAATAAGTTATCGTTTCCTTTATATCATTAGGCGACCTGTTTTTCGTTACAATAGTAGCTGATTTTCTCAACGCTTCAATCATTTTTTCAAGCTTTGAAATCACTCTTTGCTCATTTTTATGAATTTGAGCACAGAACTTAAGCATTGAGTTGAAGCCTAATCTCAATGTAGACTAGTTCATTTGACACACAGTAACACAGTATTGTTTACTAAATAATAATAATAATAATAATAATAATAAAAAAAATAATAATAATAATAGGGAAAATGTAATTTACGAACCACTAGTATAACTCTATCCGTTAGAACCAGCGCCTCACGTTATAGTCCTCTGAAATCTTCATATTGGAACTATAGGTTTCAACAGGAAATTGACTGATTACTGAAGAGTAATCAATTTTATTTTATCTAGTCCAAAGTACTGACCGAACTTTATTGATCATTTTGTAATGTGGTTACTTACTAAGCCAGTAGGCTCAGCATTATTGTACATTTTGATGAATGGTCGATGACTCAAGATAATCAGCAGGAAGTACTGAACCTAATTTTCGTGCTTATTGACACACCCATCAGTAAAGTGCACCTACAACTGCTATAGTAAGGTCAGATTGACGCAGGTTAGAATCACTCGGGGGACATCACTCCGCCTTACTGACGAATGCCAGCAAGCATGAAAATTAGATCCACAGCTTCCTGTCGATTGCTCGTAACCATCCAACAAGATTTCACCAGTCTATATTACTGGCATTAGTAATGAAAAAGTGGTGAATACAACGGTTCGAAATTTCAAAAAGTAGCTACAAAGCAACAAACTACTAGGGCAACAAAAAGTCAAATATCCATGTGTGTAGGAATTATAGCCCTTCTTCATAAGCATTTGCCAACTTGTGTCACCTATGGTGCCGACTACCGAGATATCCGACTATCTATCAAAAGACGAGTATACTGTGCTGCAGTTCTTTCTGTTCTGTTATACGGTTCTTAGACACAGCACTTAAAAGTAGAAGATATGAAGCGATTGCAACGTTCTCATCATACATGGCTTCGTAGCATTATTCATCTTTGGTTGAATCACTGTGTGAGCAATGTTGAGGTCAGGTGAAGAGTACTAGGCAAGAAAGGTAAGTCGACTGATGAGGTTGTGAACCTTAGTAGAGTGAGATGGCTCGGACAAAGACTGTACATGCCGATCCACCCCCTACCTTGGCGTGCCATGCCAAGGGAACTTGGATTATGCTGGAAGAGGGTTCAGGGTAGCCAGACCAAGACGTGGTACCAGTGAATGAATTCTCTTGGTGTTGTTCTGAGCCATGCGGGGCGATGTAGACTGCCTGGTTGAGGCCCCGGGATGAAAAGAATCAGTGACATGGTTGAAAATCAGTCACAATGATGCTGATGTGTTTAATCTTCAACATCTTATAAAGCTTAAATATTAACACTAACCTTTATCTTCAAAATGCTTATTTCTTCACACAACTTTGTCAACTTTTATATCACTTTATTATCCACCTGTTCTTTGTATACTAATGTGGCAACTTGATCCAATGCACCTGTGCGGGTGGTTCTATGTTGATTTTGTTTGTCTGTTTGACATAAAGTCTAAGGTATGACGAAATGATTAGTGATACGAGATGACGAGAACAACTTAAATCTTGAAACCTGTTACGAATAATGACAATAATAGTTTAAAATAGCTATAGACAGAATGGCAGCAGTTGCATAAAATGCAAATATTGGTTACCGACATAAGTTTTACAAAAAAAAAAGACTAAAATTGGGGTTCAAATATGCAGACTCCCTTCATTTCTCTTACTGTCCTTCAGGATACAGTCAATACCGATATAGTCGAATATTGAAATGTATTATATAAGCAAAGAATGAATTTATAAGTGCAAAATAATTAACAGAAAAACTATGATAAATCGTACTTTTTGAAAACCAATCACAACATTACGAGATTTTTCATAATCAGGTGCAAGAGCAACCGCTTTGATAGCATAATCAAAACTACTGACTTGATCAGTTTCTGTCAATGATAAATTATATATAACCAACTGGAAAGTAAATACACAAAACATAGGCCAATAATGAATATACTTGAAAAGTTGATTATAATATATATTTTTTTAAAAATAATACTTCATTAAAAAATTATTTAGTTATTGGCTAGAGATTCTCTAACATGATATTATTTTGAATTGATAAATTTGAGGCGATTGGTTCGAATTCTGTCGCAACCTAGTTTTACTCTCAGAGAAAAGAAAATGTCACACATTATGGCATACACGAATAATGTTCAATATTGATCAAGACATAATATGCTTAAGTCTCAATTCTGCAATAATAATTGTTGATGTAGATTTAATACGTTCATAATTCCTATAGTGACACCAAGGACAAAATATTCAGCGAATAGGACTCTTTACAACAAATTTATTCTCAAGTAGTTGGTTAACTTATTCACTAGTTACTAGCCAATCCTAAGCCCGGATAAAGGGGGAAGGTTGGGCATAGGGCTAGCAACCCTACTCCAGAAAACTAATCCAATCGCTGAAGGAACTTCAAAGCATAAAGAAAATACAAAAATAAAAAATGACGCCGGTTGGTGAAAGCCTTCGGGAAACCAATTGCCAGATGTCTTCTTCTCTCTACATAAAACCAAAAGTAAGAATGGTGACATGGAATGTCCGCACAATGTATGAACCTACCAAGGCTGCCCAGATTGCCGAGGAGATGAGAAGGTATGGCATAGAAGTGCTTGGAATGTGTGAAAGCAGATGGAATGGAAGTGAACTCTCCAAACTATTAACTGGAGAGTCAGTAATTCACTCCGATTTTGTCACCCAGACGACAACCACGAGCACGCCGAGTTTTCGAGTGGCTATCATGATCTCCCCTTCAAAAGCATCGAAGGCTGTGTGTGATGCAGTGTGAACCAATGTCCTTCTGCAGCATCATAACAGCAAGACTCAACTGGAAAGGAAGAAAAGTCACAATCATACAATGCTATGCTACTCTATGCACCTACAAATAATGCAGATCAAGAGACGAAGGAGAAATTCTATAGACAACTACAATCAGTAATGGACAAGGACCCACGCCAGTTGGCGACATCAAAATTCTAATGAGTTGGGTGACATGAATGCCAAACTCGGAACGGACAACACAGGAAGAGAACTAACCACCAGGGGTCGAGAAGCTCTAGGTGAAATGCACGAGAACGGAGAACTGTTTACACAATTGTGTGCATTCAACGATTTGGTGATTGGAGGCAGTGTGTACAAACATAAGGACATTCACAAAGCGAGCGATATGGATTTGATTCCACCAGATGGACACATTAAAAATCAGATCGACTTCATCTCAATCTCAAGAAAGTGGAGACGCTATATTGTACAATAAGTGAATTTGTTGAGAAATTACATGCTGAAAATTCCATACTGTTTAGAATAAAGTGATTATTATTATTTTAATAATCGCTTCAGGAAATTGAAGTAACACAATCGCACATGTGTGATAAAAGAAGTTTCATGAACTGTTAAAGATTATTATGACGGAAAAGGAAAATATAATAATAATAGTCGTTTTATTTTAAACAATACGTATGACAGTATGGAATTGTCAGCATGGAATTTTTCAACAAATTCACTCCCAGTTCAATACTTTCAGATGAAACGGTTATTGCATTGGAATGATGTTAATAATAATAACAGTACTGAAGGCAATAAACGTAAAATAACCAGCTGGTTCCGGATGGGCATCCGGTTTATAATGAAGAATCAACAGAAATGCAGGTGTAATTTTGGCAGTGGTGGTTCATTCAGATGGTATAAATATCTACAACTCAACCTAAGCATCTGATGGATAAAAATATGATGTACTTTTTTCCATCTCCATATAATGTAATATTTTTCCTCTGCTTTGTTATTGACTCAAGAAACGGACAGTTTAAAACTGTTTAAAAATGTTCAAGAGTACACTATACGTTCAAACAGCATATATAGATGGTTAAAATAAATTGAAAGGAAAGAAATTTGATGAAAAATGTTCTATGGATAAATTTAGTGTCCCAAGATTCAAGCAGGCCACCATAATGTTATAAATATAAAATATTATCGATGAAGAAAATTTCATCAAGGATTCTTTCGCCATAAAACAAAGATTTCAAAGAAAAAAGGTTCTCTTGGCGATGATTTCATTTTGAATTGATGTTAAATTGAAGTAAACAATAACAAATTTTGTTTGTTTCATTTTGACAATAAGTGAAATCGTGAAATCCATTAATATGTTAATATGATATTTCATAAACTAACAAATCAGATGGAAAAGTTTAGGAGACTAAAGGTCAAAAACTGAAGACAAGAGGTGAACGAATGAATGAATATACTGTGTTCTCATTTAAAAGTGATTGAGTGACGATTAGACGAAATAACAGATATGAATATCTCTCAGACAATATGTGATATTAAATTTTGAGGGAGTTGTGGAGATTTGGAATTATTTCAAGTTGTTATTCATTGTAGACTGACATCAGTTGCAAAAACAAAGGAAACCTGGGAGCACTGGACAGCTGTTTCGTCCTAGTATGGGACTCCTCAGCAGTGCGCACCCACGACCCCACCAGCAGGGATCGGACGCGCGACCTTCAGGTTCCGCGACCAGCGCGTTACCATTGAGTCACTGGGTCAGAATCCAATGCTACATATTTCCAACTTCTGTTAGCTCACGATATAAAGCGCAACCGCCACCCAATGTCATCGCTGAGTATTTGTCCTCATGGCCATCAGGCTTTGACTCCACCGGTCACGACTTCTCATTGGAAATATGGAGCATTGGATTCTGACCCAGTGGCTCGATGGTAACGCGCTGGCCGTGGAACCTGAAGGTCGTGGGCTTGACCCCTGGCGAGGTCGTGGGTGCGCACTGTTGAGGAGTCCCATACTAGTCGGACGAAACAGGTGTCCAGTGCTCCCAGGTTTCCTTTGTTCCTCCAACTGATGTCAGTCTACGATGAATAACAACTTGAAATATGTGATATGATAAGAATCAAGAGACATCAAATTGAAATACAATGAAATGAAAACAAAGAAGAGATGATTACAAGAAACATGTGATAAAAGTGGTAACCTAGGTACAAGGTAGTGAAAGGGATCGTATAGACTGTTTCTGTACACAGTTCTAGTTTGAGATTATGTACACACAAGGCTTCTACAATTAGAAGTAAGTGTATGCGTACACCATTTGATAAGTTTGATTACACCCGGTAAATAATATTAAATGATAATACGGAAGCTGCATGGTTGTAGTCAACACAACATAGAGGATTGATGACTTTACGCCTTTACTTTTCCCCTTTACTCAATCATACTGGGAGATGATCTCGAACGCGATAGGAAATTCCTTTGGTATAAACATCCAGCTCATAGTTATCATGAGCAGCCTAAAAGATGGGCACCGAATCTGATTCTAGTATGTTTAGAAAATGAAAACATTCTGAAAAATCTTGTTTTTATTTTCTAAACACACTAGGATTATACCAGGACTCATTTATATACGGATTCTTTTGATTGGTTAAAAGCAGTATTACAGACATTTATACAAAACCTACATAGGTAGCACGTAAAATTTCGTAGATACTGTTTCCGAAGTACAACAGTCTATATTACAAGATTAAGGTTTGTGGCCGTAAATACATCATACATCTAAAAACCAACATACACCTGTATAACAAATGATCCATTGCATTTTTATTGAAAGTAATATGATTAAATAAGATTTTAACAGCTTACACGTCCATCATCTCCACAACTTGCAATATAGTAACCTTGTTCCGATATACTGATCTCATTAACAGATGTGCTATGCTGAAAGTCAAAAAAATTAAATTAATTTCACAAAATTGTCATAATTCAAATGGATTGTTGCTACACTGTAGTTTTAATGGAACTCAATCATCATGTTCAGGTCGGTGTAATGGGTGATAAGTCATACTTATTATTTAAGGACTAATGATATTATCTGGTTGCTCAAACTTCAGATAAGCTCAGCATAGTATAAACATTAGGTAAACGTACAATTCCTGGGTCCAGTAATTGACAGTTATGATGTATTATGCTACTTCTAATAATGATTGATTAGAAGCCGAAGGAAGTAAGTACATAAAGAGAAAAACGCATACAAACCTTTACGCTGGAGCCCCAAAAGCATAAATTCAATACGAAATAATTACTTCAATATGCAGATATAGGAAAAATGTTTTTTAGAATTAACGGTCTAGATGTTATCAGTACAAAATATATTCAAATTTTACAATGTTTACTATTATACTGTTTAATATATAACCAAATGACTGGAAAAACAGAAAGAAATAGTCTATGCGAACAACGCAAGTGATATCTTAACAATCTGACGAAATAGGCGATAAATTTGAATGATGTTGAATGAGTCAGTCGGATAACTTATCATTTCATTTCAATCACACAAATTTCGTAGTCCTACACCTCACTGGTTATTAACCTTCCTTTAATTAATATATAATAAATAACAAATATGTAGGGGTGAACTAACGCTTTATTTATGGCAACCTCTCTCTCTCTCTCCATATATATATATATATATATATATATATATATATATATATATATAGGTTATATTACCTGAATTACAGAAATCGACCTCTTCATCTCTCCTTATACAGATATCTCCAAATAAGCTGGCTGATCGAATTCGCCAAAATAGCATTTAGTGTTAACTACTGGACTCAACGTCAAGTTAACCACAACCCAAGTGATTCAGTGGCATATCCTCCTTTTACACTATTTAGGCAGACTATACTATTTACCGTTATTTCCGAGGCAACTTTTCCCTATAAGATCTCATTATGTTTCATAAGATTCAGTAAAGAAGCTTTTAGAAGCATGATGCAACTAGACTACATTTTCTACAAAATGTCAATAGGTTCTCTTGGTCAAAGAAGTACGATTTCAGATTAAAAAATAAAGCATGTTCGATAATCGTAAGCATGCATTCTTTCATGCACTTATGGAAAGTGAAAAAAATTATAATGAACCTAAAGAAGATTGAGAAGACAGAAGTAAGACAAGGCTGCCACCTACTATCACTGATCATCTTCCTCATTGTGCTCGACTCGATCATGCAACAAATCCTGAGGACCAACAACATGCGCATACACTGTTTCACCGATGAAAACACCCTACAACATTCGCATTTCACCATCGATGATCATTTATGTCGAATGTCTTCTCGCACAAACTCGAAGATCTACAAGCAAAAACCAACAACTTGACACAAGAGGTGAGGCAGCGAAAACCACACTTCTAATGAACGTAGGGAAGACACAGGTGATGAAGATACCCAACCAATAACAACAACAATAGCAAAAACAAGCACCAATCACCATCAATGGGAGAAATCTACAGAAAATTGTCTCTATCACCTACCTAGGTAGGGTAGCATCGTCTCAACTACACACAGCACAGGCACACATGACGATGTCAAAGCCAGGATTGCAAAGACAGAAAGGCGGGCCTTCCTGCATCAATCTGAAATAATCAGTGTGCAGATCTACTCCACTCCAATCAGCATATAGAGCAAGATCAGGATTTCCAACACTAATTCAGTCAAGTCAGTGCTTCTATCTGATGGTTGAGAGACTCGGTGTGTTACGAAAATCACTTTCAACAAACTACAGACATTCACCAACAACTGCCTGCGCTCGTTGCTGAAGATCAGATGGCCAGAATAATAAGAATAAGCAACAAGGAACTCTGGCTTGCAACGAACGAACCAACCTATCGCCCCACAAATGTGCGGAAGAAGGAAGTGGAGATGGATTGTGCATACATTGAGAAGGTCATTCGAAGACATAAGGCGCCAGCCCAGTCCTTCAACTGGAATCTAAAGGGGAAACGACGAGTTGGGCGTCAAGGTGATGGTGATACGGAGGAGATCATGTGAGGAAGAAATCAAAGCTTGTGGGCAGTCGTGGAGGCAGGTTCAAAAGACTGCAGAGAACAGAGTGCAATGGAGGCGTGTTACTGAAGTCCTATGCTCCACTAGGAACCCAAGGGGAAAATAATATAATAACAATAAAGAAGATTGAAGTGAAGTGATATTTAGTATGTTTAATGCAATTAAAGGTTTGAAAAATTCAATGATCATGAAAGGATGATCGTGGGACTGTAATTATAAGAATGTAACACTAACAAATTAAGAGCGAAATTAAACTTCACCAAAAACAAATCTATGACTGTATTCATCACTCCTTATCTAAACAACTCATTAGAAGCTTCATTCACCTAAATAGAATAGAAAGATTGGGTGAAGCAGACAGAAAAAACAACTAACAGTCATCAAACGAAATATATTATTTATTGCCCAATGCAAGAACCGTTATATACATGGCTGGTGCGTTGTTTGAGATAGTGTTTGTTCCTTCTAACTAGAAAAAGTGTAAAAACCGTTACTAGTGCATTTTTCAAACGATTTTCCTTTTGATAAGTTCATGCTGACAACTAAATTCAAACAACAAAGGAAGTTTTGACATCAGCCAGAATGTCAAAACAAAGAAAAAACATGCATGGGAACTGATTATTTAGCTGTATACTTGCTCACAAAATCACCTTTTGCTAGCACAAAAGTTGGCAAATGAATATATGATAAGACTTCTATACGATTAAAAAAACGGTGGTGCATTATACAATGAGGATGCACAGAAATTCAGACGTCATTAAATACCATGGAATTGATATTTGCTCACTGACATTTATCTTACCACTTAACATCACAAACTCTTGATTTTAATTAGTATCTCAGTTGTATTTAAATATCATCCAAAATGTCGTCAACGAACAGGTCTGCCCAAGTGGAAAAAGGGCAAACAATGGACCGTGAGAAACGTTTTAAAAGAACTTCAAAGTCGCTGTATAAAATCAGTAACTACATGAAACAATACTGTTTGTATCATCATCATCATGAACACATGACCAGTCACTACTGCGTAACAGTCCGAATTGCCACAGCTCATATCAGTACATCAAGTTAAAAGGCAGTCAAGTGGAAGATGGAGAAAACAAAATTCAGTCAACAGAAATATAAATTACTCAAAGAGAGGGAGAGAATGAGAAAATGAAGAGATCCAGCATAGCATCGTTAAGATGAGGATAATGTATGTATACATCTGAACCATTGACATCAGTTCACTTACAGTCAGTCTCCAACCCCTGGTTCCTCTTGTCTCGCTGACCCCAGCCGACTAGTCTGCATCGCCCCACCACATGGCTCAAACCAACAGTCAAAGACTTCATACACCAATGCCATGTTTCGGTCTGGCCACCTTGAGCCTTTTTCCAGCCTGAAACCTCTTCGGCCAACATTGTGTGATGAGGCAGACGGCAACTAGGCATGCGTAACACGTGTCCCAAACATCTCAGTCGATGAAGGTTCACAACCACATCAACTGATTTACCTCTTCTCCTTAAAACTCTAAACATCACATCTGTGTCACTCACGTGGTCACACCACGGAATACAGCCTATATTACGAAAGCAACAATCGTCAAACACTTCAAGCCTTCTCATGTCTTCCACCTTCAATGGCCATGTTTCACAACCATACAGTAGAACACACCGGACTGCTGTGCAGTACACACCACCCTTAATACACAAACCGATATCACGGCAGAGCCATAGGTGGCGTAAACTGGCAAAAGTCAGTCGAGCCTTTTGTATTCGTGCAGAAATTTCGTCGGCCAATGTGCCACAACAGCTGATTCCACTTCTCGGGTAAGTTAAGTGGTCGACACACTCAACCACTACACTTACTATTGTTAGCTGACGCACTGTTGAAGACCAATCCTCGAGCAACAATTCCCATTTGGGTGGTGAAAAAAGCATCCCAAACATTCTCAAATCTCCACTCAAAGTTTCCAGAAGACTCTGCATCTTGTCAGCGTCTTCACCTAACACGACTATGTCATCTGCATATTCTAGGTCCAATGAAAATTCTCCTGTGATTAGGTCAACCCCTTTGTAGTCAGGCGACGAGAGGGAGAATACCTATGATAAAAATGAATAAAAATGGAGAGAGTGGGCAGCCTTGGAAGACACCAGTCGACGAGTACAGCTCCCCGGATATCTCATCATAGGCTCTAACACGCCCACAAGTGTTCGAGTAGAGAGCTTTCAATTTCATGTGGTTAATGATTTTCTACAGCGACGTTGAAGTTCTTTCGAAACACTACTTTGTCTAATGAAAATCATAGCACCACTAAACGCGATCTAACCGAAAACGACAGGCAAATATATTAAATTATCATAAAAGAAGTAGAGCACCGAGTCAGGTTTAATCCCTATATAAGTAAGTGTTAATATAAAACCAGCGTGTTTAGAAAATTAAAACATGATTTCCCTGAATGTTTCGTTGTGTATGTGATAGATTCTTCAGCAGAACAATCAGTATTGATTAGAAAAAAATAGTGCAAAGTTCCATATTGTTACATGGAAATTGAGTTACTACATTCTTCTACTAAACTGAACTACTTTTTCTTACATTTTTTATGACAACTAATGTGAGTAGAGAACAGTAGCCATAAAAACCCAACTTAAACACTGAATATGACGTACATAAACGCAGCATCTTACGTAATTAGCATTTATCTACTAGACTATCATCAATGATTTATATGAGGGAAAATATTATGTATATTTTTAAGACTGGAAATACATAATGAAAGATTAATATTTTCCGAAAAAAATAAATTAAAAAGATATAATCTCATCATCTTACGATCATACTAACCAGTGGAGCTGGTTAACACGAATTGTTTTTTTACACCATCAATCACAGTGAACATAGAACTAGGCATTAACTGCGTAACGATCCAAATCGCCATACATCACTACAACAAGTAACACAACTACACTATCTATAACTTAGTTATTTACGTTTTCAACATCATTTCTGAGAGAGAACTAGTTACTTCGACTATGCATGTACCCCTTGCTAACGAGTTCCAATATATGTGATGCACCAGCTTATGGTTTCCTAACGGTTGACTACAACTTAATAACAGGTTTCACATAACTTGGTAACCAGATTACAAGCTTGAGCAATTTACTTTGGTCAGGACTTGAAAACAGTCAATCTGATAGTGATTATGTTGCATAGTATGATCAGTATAGTGCGCTATTTACTTTGAAACTTAAAATAAAGTGAATAGGGAATAGTAAGAGTGGACTACTTACCACACTATATATCCCATTTTCAATTGGAAAGCCATTATGATCTAAAACGTGTATACGTCCCCATTCTGTACCAACTGCAATAAACTAGAAAAAGCGAAAAAAATTTCTAAATTATTGAGCATTTACACTCAATTTTTCATAAATTCTTTTATCTCTTTTTCAATGAAATTATAAATATCTAGGCTATAAATGTTATGCATATCTTGCAAAATTCTGAGCACTTAGTCTAATTTAATCTTTATTAGAACATATTTTAGTATGATCTGAGTGAGCCTCGAAAATCAAACAAGATTATTCTGCTGAAGAGTAAAATTGTTTTGATTTTCTAAAAAGCGCGAGGATTATAATCAAGATATATATGTATATTCTTATGAAATTTATCAATTGAAATGATTCCAAGTAGTTGAAGACAAGAATACCAACTGATACATCTCTTTCAATCAAAAAGTACACGTTCAATGGTATTTCAGGAGAAAGTTATGCACACAATTTCTTATCCATGGGTAAGTATACCACCACCATGAATAAATACACTTATGGGTAAGGATGAATAAAGTATATAATCACTACTATGGTCAAAATTATAAAATATTTGTTGGCTAAAATTTTGACATAGATTCCAATAGAAAGTGATTACTTTTTAGGTGCTTTTGATTTTCAAAGAGATCACTTCAACACTAAGAATAATTATTTTACTACTTATGAGGCATAATAATACGCAACAAACTGTATGTATTATTGCAGAAATATGCTGAACTGCAAAAGAACTGCTATATTTTACACATTCTAAAATCTCTACTCATCCTAAATGATAAATCTTTAAATGTTGCTGGGATAAAAATCCATTTTCAATGTTTAATTTATCTATATAATAATATTAACAATAAGTCATAATTTATTTAAACCCTTGTTATTAGACGTGTAACTAGCTGCTTTTTTGTCGCAAAACTTGTAGAAAATATGATTTATCAAAGGCTTGAAAAAACGCGAAAAAAATGAACAGGAAAAAAAATTTCGATGGCTGCTTCAGTGAAAAACCAAACATAACACCTAGTAAACACAAACTAGTTGGCTTGTATGTAACCAAAGGCGCAACACGGCAAAAAAAATGCATTATACTCCAAAAAATTGTTGTCTTGCGTCCTTGGATGTACTCGACGAGCTGTATAACAGCTGACAAAAAGGTCGAAGGATTATAGTTTGGTAACTAAAACTAAACACCAAAAGCTAAGAGTAAAAACCACAGCGACGTCTAAGGCTGCATACTTCTACGCCTGGAAATAAGTCATAACTTAAAATACAATATCCAGAGAAGTTACAAAGCTGGGTAACTAAGGCAAATTTAAGCCATATTAGATTTCCTAAAGGCATTCAGATCGTTTATATGCAAGTAGTAATATGATGCATATAGTACACTAAAACTGAGATCTCTGTCGCAGTTATTGATGCAAATAACACCAATGAATCCGTCGACATTTGAAACGTTAAAAATGTCCCTGAAAGGAGCATATAACAGATATTTGTTTGAAATACATTGACTAATCAGCCCCCAAAAGCAGTTTATCTTAAGATCCTTTATATTACATTGTGCTACATAATTCTATAAACTATGCTAAAAAAGATTTGAATTTATAGAAAGATAACTGTTACAAATAATTTACTTTTTCATGGACTGCCAAACAACTGACAGAATCCATAGAAGTTATATCAGACAAACCATGTCCTAAGGGTTTGTATTTCAGGCATGGTTCAATAGATTCCCAACTCTTATCTTCATTCAAATCTTCAGCCAACTCAGCAACTTCGAACACTTCAGACATCTGTGAATCAGTAAAGGAAATCAGAAAATAACGCACAACATAAAAACAAGTGAAATCAGTCTAGTTTTATTAAGCTAAAATAGAACTGACAGTTGTTTCACACTAGTGAAGAGCACAATTTTATACTTTCTCACATAAGTTATATTCAATTAATGACATTATTCAGTCGACATTCAGTCATGAAATATCTTACTAACACAACGTTTCCAAGAAGTCAACATTCTTTCACAAACTCATATAAACAGTGATATCATGGATGTGTATACAAATCAAAAAATTAACTATTTATATCAACACCTGTTTTACCATAGACAATATGACACCCCTAGTACTTCAGTAAAAACAAAAACATCTAAAACAAAAATCTATTTGCACAAAAACAATAGCACTGGAAAGTTGCAAAATTATCACAAACAGATAACACTAGAAATGCATTGAAACAACAGTTAAGAAAGGCAAATGTTGGAAGTAAAAAGCGAAAAGAACAAAAGAGCAATAATATCTGTGTCACAAATACAAGAAACACTAAGCCTGGTTAACAATCTTCATTGGATTAGACTCTGTAACATAGCATAGGCCTTTTCCCTCTAGAATTGCCAAACCATAACGAAGTCTCCATCGAGTCTCTGCATCTAAATTAGGCTCTATCTGGTATTCAGATACGTAAAGACGCTTGTCAATTAACTGAAGTATTGGTCTAATATTTATCTGCAGTTGTGATTCAATGGCTTTCAAATTAAATCTGAAAACAAAGTGGTTAGTAGTTCACATAGTAACTTACCAATCATCGTTCGTATTTAGATTGATTGCGATAGCGAGATGACTGAAACACCCTGATCTGCTAATACGATGTAGGTAGGTTTCAGCATATTGAGGAAAATTGAAATTAATGACAACATTGACAAAAGGAACATCGACACCTCATGTGAAGAGGTCCGTACAAATAAGATTACAACGGTGACCTGCTCGGAAGTCATGAAAAACACGATTTCAATAATGACGTGGCTTGCGCGCGAGTATACAGAAACAAGAATAACCTAGCTTCATTATCTTTTTAACTAAAAGCTCCACACGCTGGGCAGTAGTGCAAAATATCATTGCCTGGTTGATTCCAAATGGTGAAAAGACTGTATATAGACAGTGTATCTAGACAAAGCATAGTAAGAGAAATTTAAAAAGCTGAAATACCTTCTGCTTTTCTGAGTGATGCCCTTGAGAGTCAATTCATTCATGAGATTAATTTCGTGAGGGGATTTCAAGTGTTTCTTCATAAATGATTGGACTGATATAGGAAATGTAGCCGAAAATAGACTGATTTGTCGGTCATTTGGTGGATTACAAATGATATCTAAAATTGGAATTATATTTAAAACGCGTAGTTACAATAAATCCTGTACATAACAATTTATCAGCTGCGTCTAGGACAAGTACACCACATTTATCTGTTGTGATAAGAGACCACTTCAAAACGTCTCAGAACTTTTCTGGGGTGATGATAAGAGCATGAACCACTTCGTCAAGTCTAATAAGATTTTCCACCAAGTTTGTACCTCTCGTAAATACTATTGCAGGGAACGACAAACCGAGACGCAGGAAGGAATGTTTATTACTGACATCTTGCACGGTGAGTTATCAAATATTGTACACTTTCTACTAAAACAGTCATTTGCACAATGTGGTTTATTTTTCCTTCTGCTTTTATCTCGACTTGCTTTTAATACGCCCACATTGTGTCTTGCGTTTCTCTGGGCAGAATATTCACCCATTGCTGGCAATTGCCTATGATTTCTGCCGCCCTCTTAACACAGACTACTTATACCCATTCTGGTCAGCAGCGTCCACTACACTATAATAGCCTCTATATCCAAATGTTTTGATGTCCCCTTGGTAATCTAACTTGTCTGAGTTGGAACTTATGTGAGTGGCTGGAGAGATTCAATGAAAGCATCAACGTTTTCCAGTACTGGAATAATATAAGCACCGGTTTCCCCGGTCCGATTTTTCGCCCTGGCCAGTATATCTCGACCGGTGAGTGCAATAGGAGCACTTGATTCTTGGATAGGAGACCGTGATTCTCAATCTTTTTCATATATGCTCCTGAAAAAGTCATGCTTCAGACGAAAATGTTCAAAAGAGTTACCTTTTTGGAATAAAACATCAACAGTTTTAATTATCCTTAGGTGATGATTTCAAAAGACTCTTTCAATTTTCCATTAAAAGCACCTATGGAAATAAACAAAATTCCATAGTTATCAGCTCATTACGCACACACCCACAAGAAATGTCACAATATGCAAACCGGTATAAATCATCTGCCCAAAGTTTACTATTACGGCACCAATTTTGTATACTAGAGCTATTTGACAGACAAACATAACAGTACCGCAGCCAACATCGAAGGTGATCTGTAACTAATGAATAACAGTCCAAGTTGTCACACCTCATACGAAGATATAAGGTATTAGGACGGAAGATATATGAGAAAAAAGAATGTTATCAAAGCAGTAGAAGATCATATGAGATGAATAGGGAGTAAAAGAATAGCACATACGATATGACAATGAGAAAATGCCCAAGAAGACGTATAAATATGGTTGAAAAGGTTTTCTAAATTCTAGAGGAATGTCAGAGTTAATTGCATTGCTACTTCATAATTTCGGTCGGTACTTCAATACACTTTAAGAGAATCTGAGTGACAGGAATCCCTGTAAACTCATGGCTAACTACTAACACCTGAAACATACTGATACTACTTGATTGAAAACGTTCAATAAAGTAGTCACATGGATCTCTGTAAGCTTGAGAATGTACTCCGCCTCCCCCCTCCCTTTAATAATCAAGCCTGGTTTACCTTTAATCAGGACAAAATTGTCAGACAAATGATTTAGATTTGAATCACTTCTACACTAACACATAAGTCCTCGTACGACATTCATGATGAAAGTTCACAGATATCAATTCCTTGCAATGTCCTAAAGCATCGTTGATGGCTATCAAAAACTTTAACCACATAGGTTTGTCACGATTACGGTCTAATTCTTACCATCAGCTAATTAGCTTCTTCACTACCCCTAGGTGTTTAAGATGAATGAGTTCTAAAAGGAATACAGTTATCAGGAGAAGACAGTTATCTTTCGAAATGGGATTGACGACTTGATTGCGACTACTGGAGGTAGCGTCAGTTCTAAGGGGGATACCCTCCATTAGCAAAAGTCATTTTGTCGCCAAACTAAAACCCACAGAGGTTGCTTTGCGATTATCCCCAACAGTCTGCTTCGCATCTGATCATACCTGTGCCGCACAGACGATCGCAACGACCTTTAGTATCATTCATCTACTTAACCTTGTAAGTAACAAGCCACTAACACCCATTTCTTCAAGCTCCTCTACAATATCTTTAGACACTAGGTTTTGAGTTTCCGCCGTAAACTCCACTTACGAATATGCCACTCACGAAAGACGTTGTTATGCTACACCAAGAACAGCCCACAATTGTTGAGAACTGCTGGACACCGACAACTCATCTTAGTTTAGTTGCAGCCCAACCCTGTCGAAAAAGTAGCAATCTAACCATGAATCTATATAATGAACCAAGTTCTCCTTCAACTCAGTCTGATAATAAATGTGTCTGTCGATTATCTTACATTTACACGCCCCACTATTTCTAAATACAACTCGCACTTTCTTTCGAAAGGGAGGAAAAACCGTTGAAAAGCCCCAAAATTATGCTGGTATCTCCATTTGTGATGTTAGTCACTATCATTTTAATAAGTTTCCGTTAGAAAATCAGGCAAAATTTTTCTCTGAAAAGGTGTGACTGGATTGTTGTGGTTGGTTGGGTTTCCCATTCTTATGACATGTGTTTCCTCATAACCGACAACTACATTTGGACCCACAACAGTTTGGTCTTCAATCTGTAATTATTTAAACTTTTGTCACTGAACCATACATCAGTGGAGAGACTACCTAAAATTGGTGACAGTGACTGCTATATCTTCATTCTACGTTGGTCTGTGATAACTTTGGAAATCTAGAGATTCTAGTCGTTCTATTGAGATTTTGCTCGCTTTCCAATGTCGATTACTATGACAGTGTAATGAATGCGACTGAGAGTGTTCCAACAGAACATACAGTTTCTAGATTTTCCTGATTGTCCCAGACCATTGAGCAGTCACCATCATTAATTTTAAAAGATCTATTCTCATGCATGATGTTTTTATATGATTGAAAACTCCAAGTGTTAGTTTATAACAGCCCCGACCGATAGCTGCTACCTTGACGTGGTGGTCGGGCTTGCATATCACAATGACCCAACGAGCTATGCTGGTGGAACGCTTGTTCCCTCGAGGTCCTACCATACCAGAAAGGTCTGTTGGGTAGTGGTTAGACGAAAAGCAGTTACCGTTATAGTGTAAATTGCTACACTATGATGGGGGTCTGAGGGCGAAGTCGTACTGCTGCTAGCTGGATGGGGTGTGACAGCAGTAAGGTGTTTCCCTTGGATGACCAGCAGTGCCAAGCTGATGCTGCCTTCTCAGTGGAAGGGGGGGTTAGAAAAGGTCGGCCCCAAAAATAACACACTCCACCACGCCCCACGGTCTGCCGGGCCGGCGGTGTTGGTTCACTTGTCGTTTCCTTTCGCTCATCCGGCCCCAAAAATACAAAAATTCAAAATAATCATACTCAAAAGGCTGGGTGTGACAGGCCTCAAGCAGATGTCCGATGGGCTCTGCGGTCACACAAATCTCTTTCAGGTACCTTAAGAAGAAATAGCCTTCCACGGTGTGGGCAGCCGGGAAGTGTCAACCGCCCTCACAACTCTGTCAGCACCCAAGTTTCTTCTGACTGCTATCCTCCTCCTCCATCATTACCTTCTAATCTTCCTTCACGTCTCTTAATTAATGATGCTGCATCATCTTCAATTTCTCCTACCTCTGCAGCCTTCGACAACGATCTGAGTCCACAGAACAGCATCCCTGGTCTCCTTAAACCACGCTCCAAATTACATATTGGAGCCTTCAATGTCCGCACCCTCCGTCAAATTGGCCAACAGGCTTCGTTGGCAAAGACTCTAGCAACTCGGGCATGGATGTGTGCTGTGTTTGTGAGACACGCATACAGGACCCAAGTGTGGTTATTCACCTGACCTCTCCTGACCAATCTGGTGAATCTGCAAAATTCACCCTTCGAGTTTCTGGAGATTCGATAGCTAGCTCTCGTGGTCTTGCAGGTGTAGGTATAGCATTAAGCACCAGGGCAGAAAACTCACTACTAGACTGGATCCCAGTTGATAGTCGCCTCTGCGCTATGAGGCTGAACGGCACAGTGAGAACTAAAAGGAATAGTGAGACTCGCCGTTGTCTCTTTGTAATCTCTGCTTACGCACCCACTGACTGTAGTTCGGATGAAGTGAAGGACGAGTTCTACCATAAACTGTCTAACCTCCTCTCGAAAGCCAAACGTTCGGACGTAGTGGTTGTTGCAGGTGACCTCAACGCACAGGTGGGTAGACTGAGTGAGGCAGAAAGGCACTTAGGTGGCACTTTCGGAATCCCAGCTGAACGTACAGATAACGGTGATCGCCTATTACAACTATGCTCAGATAACCGCCTATTTTTAGCCAGCACAAATTTCAGACATAAAGAAAGGCACTGTCTGACCTGGCGTCCACCGAGCTCGACTCAGCGATGGACACAGATAGACCACATTGCTATTAGTCATCGCTGGAGAGGATCGGTGGAAGACTGCCGCTCCTTCTGGAGTACGTGTTTGGACAGCGATCATGCGTTGGTCCGAGCACGTATATGCCTGCGTCTCAATGGACGTAGAAAAAATTTGGCAACAAAACCACTACGAGTTCTGCTGGACAACGAAAACACCAAAGCCGTGTTCAGTGAGAAGTTGGCTAGGCAGTTATCGGAACAAAAGACTGTCACTCATCCAGAAGAAGCTTGGTGCCATCTTCAGTCTACTGTAAAAGCAGCACTGGAGACTGTAGCCGACTCCAAGATAATGGCTAAAAAGAGCCAGTGGATATCAGCAGCTTCTTCCAAACTAATGGATGCACGTGAATGCATCCCTGCAGGCTCTGAGTACAATGAAGAGCGAGCGCAACTTAAAAATAAACTGACGAAAAGTCTGCGCAACGATCGTGAACAGTGGTGGGCAGCAAAGGCTAAAGAGATGGAAAAGGCAGCGGCGATCGGTAACAGTAGACAGTTATTTAGACTTATTAAGGAGACTGGGGGGAAATGGTCAACAACAGTTAGTGAGGTTATAGCGGAGAAGGACGGATCGGCGATTCACTCGCAGGGAAGGCGACTGGGACGATGGGCAGAACACTTTGAGGAACAGTTTAACTGGCCTCCAGCCACCATTGCGCTGCCCGCTATCCAGTCGGACCCTGAATGGGACATAGAGACAGGTCCCCCAACACTAGAAGAAGTTGAGAAAGCGGTAGGTAGCCTGAAACGGGGAAGGGCAGCAGGACCAGACGGACTACCTGCTGAGGTATACAAGAATGGTGGTAGAGTTCTCTTAGTCAGGCTAACGGAAGTGTTAGCCAGTATATGGGAATCAAATACGATCACGTTATTGAAAGCTCTCTACTCGAACACTTGTGGGCATGTTAGAGCCTATGGTGAGTTGTCCAGGGAGCTATACTCATCAAGTGGTGTCCGTCAAGGATGCCCACTATCCCCATTCTTATTTAATTTTATCATAGATATTCTTATGGAGGTTTCCCTCTCGTCACCTAATTACAAAGACGTTGACCGGATCACAGGTGAATTTTCCTTAGATCTAGAATATGCAGATGACATAGTCCTGTTAGGTGAAGACGCTGACAAGATGCAGAGTCTTCTGAACACTTTGAGTGGGAATTTGAGAATGTTTGGGATGCGATTTTCACCACCCAAATGCAAATTTTTGCTCCAGGACTGGTCTTCAGCGGTACCGCGGTTAACAATAGAGAGTGAAGTGGTTGAGTGTGTTGACCACTTCACTTACCTGGGAAGTAGGATCAACCCCGGTGGGTTAGTTGCCGATGAGATTTCTGCACGGATACAAAAGGCTCGATTGGCTTTTGCCAATTTGCGCCACCTATGGCGCCGCCGTGATATTCGTTTGTCTATTAAGGGTCGCGTGTACTGCACAGCAGTCCGCTCTGTTCTACTGTATGGCTGTGAAACATGGCCATTGAAAGTGGAAGACATGAGAAGGCTTCAGGTGTTTGACCACCGTTGCCTTCGTAGTATAGGACGTATTCCGTGGTGTCACCATGTGAGTAATGCAGAAGTTAGGTGTAGAGTTTTGGGGAGAAGAGGTAAGTCAGTCGACGAGGTTGTGAACCTTCATCGACTGAGATGGTTGGGACACGTACTACGTATGCCTAGTCACCGATTGCCTCGTCACACAATGTTGGCTGAGGTGGGTCCAGGCTGGAAAAAGGCCCGAGGTGGCCAGACTAAAACATGGCACCAATGTATGAAGTCTCTGACTGTTGGTTTAAGCCATGTAGGACGATGCAGACTAGGTGGTTGGGGTCCACGGGACAAGAGGAACCAGTGGTTGGAGACCCTAGGTGATATGGCTCAGAACCGAAGTCAGTGGCGCAGATGTATACACACATTATCCTCATCTTAACAACGCTATACCGAATCTCACTATTTTGTCACTCCTCTTTCCTTTCTTCTCGTACTTTATATTTCTTTTGACTGCATTCACTTATCTTCATCCTTCACCTCACTACCTTTTTACTTGATGTGCTGATATGAGGTGTGGCAACTCGGACCGTTACGCAGTAATGCCTGGTCCTATGTTGATAATGATGATGATGATGATTATAACAGCCCATTTCTCCAAGTGATTATGTTTCTCAACTATAAATACATTTGGGAAATTCCTTGTGTTAAGTCGAAATAATAGTTCCCACTTAAGCTAATTCACTTTTTAGTGTGCAAGTATTTGCTACCTTATTATCGATGTCCAAGATGACAAATCCTTGTAAGAGGTCCCAAGCACATGAATGAAGACGCATTACATTTGGATCCAACCTCAGATATCCTCGCTGCACCTGTAGGAATACATGCCTGTAAAGGCTGACTAAAAAGCAGTAAAGTGCTGCAGTCTTTGAATGTGGTAAGAAATATTTATCGTAACGTTTATCGGCACAGATTGTGGTTGGCTACGGGGAAGAGATAGATGACGGTACTCTACCTTTCCCCGAAAACGTGAAGGGGTAATATCTGTAATACAGGTGTACATGTTGCCTTAAGGGAGTGTAAGAAAGGAAATGCTGAATATGTGGACAAATCTATTCAAATGAGTGTTATAGACATACAACTGAGATGCAAACCCTGCAATTGTCTGTCGATCAACTTCCTGAGGAGTGACATTTCACCGGTAGCCGCGTAAGCATAGATTTTTATTCCACTTTTCCAGTCCTTAAAAACTCTGCCTTTCTATGGACATATCACTAGCAGGAGACACCAACAGGTAACTGTTTGGATTGCCAAAACGTTGCTACAGAAGCTTGGAGAAAGAAGTTTCCAATCACGATACCCCAGGAGGAGCAAATCGGCTTTACTTATTGAGTACAACCCACAGATATCGTCCATGCAAAGATGTTTCTCGGAAATAAAACTTGACGCGTCGAGATGTCAGCGATATCTAAGTTCCAGCTGACAATGTTCGTAAAATAAGGGAGCTTTCAATAAAGTCTCAACTAGATATAAAAAGAATCCAGAAATGTTGAGAGCCGTGGGTTAATTTAGGAACTGGATCAAGAATTTTTCCTGTGACAGAAGACAATGAGGGTAACTGTGCCTTTGAGGAAACAAGTAAAGAGTTGAAGGCTTCGACCTACTACCTTAAGTTCAGTCTTCTTCCTCCTGTGCATGGACGAGTTGTTCACGACAACTGGGTTTTTCATTTGTTCACAGAGACCTATCCACAGTGACAAGGGCATTGTAGTTACAGGACGACCTAAAAGCTGTGGTAAGTATGTCCACGAGATGGTGTCTAGGAATTAATACCACCAAAAGTGTAGCCATGTAAATAGGTCACGTCGATTCACATGACTGCTTGGTTAACGACATGCTACTGCTCATGGTAGCTGAATACAGAGACGTAGGTAACACAGCCATGATTTTGGAACGTCAGCTAACTACGTAGTGGGAGCTACTAGAAAAATTCAAACATTGAAGTCCTTGCAAAAAGCATTTTATACCTTTGATGAGAACATATTTCAGATTTTATACCCGACATGTGTTAACCTCCATTTGGAGCATGGATTTCAAGCAGAGTTCCAGTTTCAAATATGAAGGTTGACATATTACAACAGGTTTAAAGGCCAAAAACCGAGATGATGAAACGGCTATCCAACTTCCCCTATGAATAAAGATTAGACCAACTAGGTCATTTTCCAATGTTATGCCATAGGATAACAGGTACCTCTCATTCAGCCGGCAAACACTTTGGGC